GAAGTCACCTCTTAATTTTCTCGTCTAACCGCCACAATCGGGCGGAAACGACGAAACAATGAAGAAAAAAACTGTAAACAATGGGCGATATTTTGTTATGCTTGCGAGGACACGTATTTAACCGTTCAGTTTAACACTTCTCTGTTTCCACAATAGTTTTATCAGAAACAGTAAAATAGAAAATGGATTCATGCATGATGCATGATTTTGATATTTTAGTAGTAGGTTTTATTTTCAAATGTACAGAGATAATGACTGAAGCTAGCTTCGTCTTATCATTGCTTCAACTACTATCCTTTTCAATGTGTATTTTTAACAATTGAAATATAAATGAAGTTATTCTGAAAACAAATTAGAATATTTCTTGCTAATATGATTTTCCCTTTAAACAGTTTATTTATTAGTGTATTAGTTTTAACTGTGTATTGAATAAAATGTAATTAAATAGTATGAGATAAATATAGTTCATATGTCCTTGGTCATTCGTTTCGATCAAGAAGTCTCGATCGAGAGTGCCGACGTCTGCGAGGTTGCAGATTCGATCCCGGCCAGGCGCCCGAGAGGGGCTTGAGATGCGGGACATGGGCGAGTGTGGGGGTCTGCGGGGATCGAGTTCGGAGGTCGACTGCTCTGATCAAGGTGTCCAAAGACCCTCCCTGGGCAAAAGTCGAGCAGCGCCATTCACAGGACTCCCTCCGCGCCCCCTCCCACCCCCTCGACGTGGAGGCAGGAGCTGCCTCCCGCGAAACGAGCTCCAGGGGCGTCCGCGTCTGATAAACGTTCGCTCTGCAGGAAGAGATATATGTAGCTTTCGTTACATTTTTCGCACAAGTCGCATAAATTGCTTTCATGTTACAGTTTATGCTTTCCACTTTCATGTCGCCACAATGTTCGTAATAATTCTCGGACGATAGATTATATTGCTTCATGATGATTCATGTTCAGCGTGAGAGCATACAGACTTTCTTGACAGCTAACATGGTCTTCTCTGATTTATCGAGAATAAAATGAAGGAAACAATGCGCATTGATTAAATATATTTTATATGTTACTAAAAAAGGTGTATTCAGATAAAAATCCCCTCAATGCAATCAATACGCTAAGAAATGGTGGCGGTTTTGTGCTATTTACAAAACCCCGTAATTGAGTTGTTGTTGGAGATGGAATCATACATATTTAAGACGAAAAACATTTGCGCATTATGAAAAAACGCAGGTGCGTGTGCAACAAGCAGGACATTACGCTGCAACAATGCGCATAACAGAAACGATGTGCCCGTGACCCTTAACACCAGATGCCTCTTAAGAGACACGAGTTGTGCTTTTGATGCCACAATCTACAAAATGAGGCAGTTTCGGACGTTCCATGGCATTTTGCGAGGGTACCCCGAAGCATCGGTTGTCAGAAACTTTCGAAGTTGGATTCCAGTGTGAAGCTACTTTATTCATAAAACGATATCACTTTATTCATACAAAGCGCAGAACGTTTTAAGTGGTTAATTGGGGTACTGTTGTAGTCTGTGTAGCTGCGCCAGGCACAATGCAGAAAACCTAAGTATGATTTGCCAGGTTAAAGAAAGCACAGCTAAAACATTGAGTTGCCCGATCCTGACGAATTGGAGAACAATCTGCATCTCAACACATTCTTTGGTTACAGGTGAGTCTTAGATTGTTGGGAAAGCCGGAAAACTCTGCGTCAACTGCGTTTCAGAAAGCTAAGAAGAATCGAACTATTTTTTACTGTGACAATGTGCTAGCTAGCGTTTTGAATGCACTCGTTTTTTACGTACAGGAATGTAATCGAAATTGAACAAACATATTGGTTTTACTCTCTTCTCTCCTCCTCCTTTTTAACTATTAAGTAATAGTATACTTTTTTCACTTTTTTAAATTTAATTTTCTGTCTGATATCTTCCCTACATCATGTCTTTGTTGAACTCTTTTTCGGTTTCAATGTAAGTAGAATTTGACCAATTTCTTCACAAAATTATCTCGAGTCTCTTAAAAAGGGATTTTTAAAAAGTTTTTGTTTAAGTGTGAATATCATATTCAGAAGATACGCTTAAATCCTTCTGAAACAATCCACACACAGTTTTAATTTAGAGTAATTCAAAATCCAATAAATTTAAGCCTTGGGAAAGCGTCTGAAGAAAGCATCTCAAAACGTTTGTATAGCGAGGGCGTAGTACTACTATGTAGAAATGATTTTCTGTGAAAAGAATAATAAACATTCAAAAAGAATAATCACCACGAAAAAAAGCATTAAATCTACTTTGCGTGGACAGTTCAGGTTCATTTCTCTTATGGTCGTTGTCGCAGTTTCACCGCAGCAAACACTGCCATGTCATTTACGATAGCGAATAGACGCCGGCCAGTTTCCCCTCGAGGACGCTCTCTTCGTCGAGGTGAAAACTGGACGATGGTATGTACAGTCCCCGTACATAAGAGGAATGATACAAGATGTACATGAGAAGTACATAATTCCATAATATTGTACTTCTATAAATAATCAGCATTGTATTGCATGGATCCATGAATATGGTATTTTAGGGTCGGATTAATCCGACTTTTGCCAGCTAGCGATTGCCAGCAAGCCTGGGCCCTATTTTCATTTTTTATCCACGCTCGGGGGCAAGGAAGACAAGACATGACACATTCCCATCACCGTATCTAGCTTACTGGACCAGTCTGAGCTTTTTCTTTTGTCTCACAGCTATACAAACTGAGACGATTTATATTAGAAAGCTCTAACTTCATTTTTGCCTGTTCGGGAATCGAATCCGGCACCGCCTCAAAGAAAGGTCGCTCGCTGCTCATGAGCCATTCCCAGGGGTTTTCCGTTAGAATTACAAAGAAAATACGATTTTAGTATATCATAGAATCAAATACTCGCTTATTAGTTAACAAAAAGGGTATTATATAATTATTTTTAAAATAAATCGATTTTTACTTCTATAAGTCTCAAAGGTAAGTTACATACATTGGTTTATTTTGTATTACGGGTTATTTTGACATTTGTGATATAACTTCAATTTCATTTTATTTTATTCATCGAAATTTTTTAAGTAAATGTTTAATCGTGATAACATCTATAATTATTGGAATACGTACCATTCAAATTTACATATTAACCTTGAAAAAATTGCATGTTTTGAGTTAATAGATGGTTTAATAACATAATGTTGTGACAGAACTTAAACGTTAATACAAATTGGTTAATAATTTCAAAGAAATTCGATGAAGACAACACGGATGTTTGCAGATAAATACCAAAACTGACCCCGACGAATCAGAGAGCAGCAATTTTTCAAATGTTTTTCCTTTCACTTTCTAGACTTGCGCAAGGCAGTAAATGAGTTTGAGTTAATGTTCATTATTTTCTTCATATTCTTTGGAAAGACAATACATTAAATCCACGATTGCAAATCCTTTCACATTACTTAATGACGATTTTCCATTTTCTTCTCCTCTATACGTCTCTACTTTTGACCAATAGGGATGCGACATCTATGTCGATGTTTTCAAAACATCGATGTATCAACATCGACGTTCTGTGATCGATGTTTTTTTTCCTTTTCCAATGTTTCATTTCTAAACTGAAAATGCCCATGATAACAATACTGTAAAAGGTAAAATATAAAATAATAACTGTTGGTAACACTGTTCATGTGTTGGAACTAAATGAGCCCTCATCTACGAAACTCTCTCGCTCCATACCCTTGTACGAGTGTTTCCTCTTCATATTATTTTCGAACTTTGAAATGTGGTCAACAAATACGCTATGGCCGTAGGATCTTTCTTTTCGTACTTTTTTAATTACAAACGTGCCCTTCGTACGCATCAAACGAACCTCTTATACCTTTATTCTGCGAATTGAATTTTAATGCATCCCCATTTAATTTTAGAACTTACTAAACCAGTCTAAAAACATCGATGTTCAAACACATTGATGGTTTGTAGTCGATGCATTTCCGTACTACCCACCTGGCGCGCTATTAGCAGTTCTTTTCTATATATGTCCTCGTCGTCACCGGCCTTCGTCACTGCCACCGCGTTAGGTCCATTATTCTTACACTCCTTACTACTTATTCTTTGCTATTTCGTTTTTAAGAAGCAACCACTCAGTATATTGGAGATAATATTCTCATTTTGAGTCATCGCAAATTGAGCTATTGTAGCGACAAATACGTGACATGTATCTGACATACTTTTAAATGTCTAGTTGCAATTATTTCCAATCATTATCATCATCATCATCATCATTGACAGCAAGGCCCTCTTGTTCTGTTCCGTCTCGAAATTGTTCATGCCATCTCTTCAAGCGTATTGAAAAATAATTTTACTTGTCCTATGTTCTGGCTTTCTCAGGACATGGCCTTTCCAGTTTTTTCTATATTTCTTTGTGATATTAATAACAGGCTCAATATTTAATTCTTCTCTGACATCTACACTTTTTTCTGGTCTAATAGTGAATATCGTGCCACGAACGAAGAAATCTCATTTCTGCAGATTCAATTCGACGCAGCTGATATGATGTTAATGTCAAGCTTTCACTTCCGTAAAGCAGTAATGGCAAGGCAATAACTTCTGAGAAGAGTTTCTTTTTGCATATTCCGCTTTAGAGTTTGTTGTAACTTTTCACCAAGTATGTGAAATTGTTCAGCTTTATTTCCATATCTCTTGATTTAATGTAATTAAAATGATATTCAAGATATTTAAATTTATTAATTTGTTCAATTATTTGGCCATTTTTAACTCTCTTCGCTCTGAAAGGTTCAAATTATTTATATGACTTCACTTATGTTTTATTTGGTATGAGTTTCATACCATACTCATAAGCAACCGGACTTAACTTATGAACTGCTATTTGAATTGAGTTATTTCTAATAAGCGCACAAATTATATATTTAACAGCTGTATAAAACATAAACCCGCAGAGCGGGTTATAACCGAAGTGCGCTCGCTCGGCGGCGCGCGCCCCACACGACCGCTCTGTTGCAGTCGAGAACGAGACGCGATGCTACGACGAGCTGGGCTGCCTCAACGTCACCCGCGAGTGGTACCACCTCATCTACCGGCCCTTCAACGTCTTCCCGCTGCCCCGCGAGGTCATCGACACCAAGTTCGTGCTGTACACGCGGCGCAACCCCAACGAGGTGCGTACGCACAGGCCGCCCCTCCGGCCCGCCCGCGCCCCGCCCGCGCCCCGCCCCGCCCGCGCATTACTTAAAGAATAATATAGAAGAGCAAACGTTCGTCCTGTGCGTTTGGAGCCGTTTTTAAGAAAATATCGTCTAAGCTGTAGTGTAAATGCGAAATTTGAAGCTCCTTTTTACAGAAGTTTGTGAGTTTTCAAAAGCCTTCATTGAACGTAATTTAAAACACTTCCACTCACAAATATAATAACGTTTGCAAAATTCTGGGAATGTGAATCTTAACGACGTGAGAGATATTTCAAAAAACTACATTTCTGTAATTCAAAAACAAAAGAATACAGCAAAATTAATTACATGTCATTTTAATCAGTGAAATTAATCGTCCATTCGAAAAGTTTGAAGAAAACAATTGGACCTGTTTTCGGGGAAATGGCGTTTAAACTTTCTGAAAGGCGGAATTTTGAGCTCGGAGACGTCGTGAAGGCTAGGGTCAGGCTCCTCCACACTCACGGTGCGGGGCGCGGAACTACGAATCAAGCCACTAATGGCTCTGGGCGAAAGAGAAACGGTACATTTCAGGGGTTGAATGCGTCTAGAACGGTATTCACAGATGCGGACTACAAAGATAAGTTCATGAAATTAACTTAAGCCAGTCTAGTAAGGAATAGCCAGTCACAACTTAGCCAGGAAGGAATAGCCAGCCTTAAGCCAATTTTAAAGTAGCTTATGTTTTTAAAAATTCTGAAATCGAATATTTTTGTTTTTAAATAATATAAATGCATGGATATTTTAAAGTGTAATATTAATGACCCAAACGAAATCATTCGATAAAACTCAGTATTTTGCATTACCTTTCAATTTAATCAACTTCAAATTTATTCTGATGAGTGCAATGTGTAAATTTATTTTTTTGTGTGTAAACATATTAAATGTATTATTTGCTTAATTTGTTAACTAGATAAAAGACACGACATTTATTGTATATTTAACATTTAGGAAGTGTCTCCGTTAGAAACTAGAATTAGAAACTTTCTCTTATGTACATTTTTCTTTGTCAGAGCGAAAATGATCGTTATTTTTCATAAAATTTGAATAATTAAGCGGAAATAATGAGTTGATAAAGTTTCTTTATAATTCTAGTAATACTAAAAGAAACATTTCCATTCCATTATAATTTAACAATATACGTTTGCTACTACTTTGCAGTAATATATAAAAGAGTTACAATTATTAACAATTGGCTATATAGGATCCCTTTTCTAATAAATAAAGAAAATTGTGTTTTCGTGTATTGTTTCTGGTCCCCTGGTTGGCCAAGATCCGTATCGGGCTATCGAGTCAAAGGACAAGGCGACGTAGCTCTGGCGCCCGCGCGACGTCAGGTTGCCCCTAACGGTGGTCGGGTGACGCCATCCGCTGCGCAATAGCGTCGAAAGGTTTGCCTACTCCCATGTTTCAGGGGCAAGTTATGCGTGCTCGCAGCGACAGTTCCATCCGCAAATCGAACTTTGACCCGAAGAAGCCAACCAAATTCATCATCCACGGCTTCATCGACACGCCTCTTAGCACGTGGGTCAAGGTAAGCACAATCCTCGCGATAAACCAGAGGGCAGACCCACGTTAAAAGAAAAATTCGACCGGCGAAATCCAAATTGCTGCGGGCTCTTTTCAACAACAAATTAAGTCCTTAAGAACATATGTATCTTGTGACTATGTATAATTCATAGGGGAATGAAAACTTTAGTAGCACAAGAGTATGTCTTACAACTTCGTTGTAAAGATACTCAAAAGGGTGCCTGCTGAACCCAAAGATGCATGAGAAAGAAGCATACGAGAATAATATATTCAACATCGTAGGTGAGTTTAAATATTCTTCGCAATTCTTATTCTTTGATAATTGAATAAATATATACACAAATAAGATCGGCATTGCGTCGTAGGAAGTGCTCTTGGCTGCCCGGGGGACGCAGCGTCGAAGGCTGTGATGCAGACTTTTCGACCATAGACTTGCTGCGCCTCCTTACAGGGTGGTCTGCTCTGCAGGACTGGTCTCGGCCCACCTGCCTTGAGGAGGTCGCAACAAGATAGTCGATACGTCGGCATCATAGCCTCCGACAGCCATCACCCCGACAGCCAAGAGCTCTTGCAAGACTCCTTAACTAAACATTTCCATTTCAATACATCCAGAATTTTCGAGAAATACTAGAGTTTAAAAGAAATTATCGTCGAATCGATATCGAGGTCATTAGCGGCTAAACAGATAAATACATTGTACAATTTCAATACGAAATTTAAAAGCGTATTCAAGCGTAAAAACGGCAAGAAAACGCAATAGCCGAGTACGTTTTCCCCGAAAGGGGTGATTTGAAGTGGGATGTCCTTCTAAGCGAGGCGGTGGTTGCAGGAGATGCGGAGGGAGCTGGTGAAGCACGGGGACTGGAACGTGATCGTCGTCGACTGGGCGGGCGGCTCGCTGCCGCTGTACACGCAGGCCACCGCCAACACGCGCCTCGTCGGCCTGGAGCTCGCCCACTTCGTCAACTACCTCCAGGTACTTCCCTCCCTCAGCCCCACTACTCGCTCGCCTTTGCACGCGCCTCTGCGTCTTGGGCTTATGTAGACAATATTGGGGAATGCGGTTCGAGGGTAGAACGTTTCTCAGGATAAAACCACTTAAATCCGTCGTTATTTTCAACGTATATATCTTTGAATATTCAGAATATATTAATGGCATTTCTATGTTTTGCTTAGAAAATCTTTCCAAATCTTAAATGCTCATATTTCAAAGAAAAGCTTGTGGTGCTAAAACAGCACGACCGTAATCGCCATTAGTAATGGTGATGCAATACTATTTGTATCTTAACTCCTCTCCCATTTAACACATCTCATCCGTCATTTTTTGTAAAACTCATTACAAATGGTGGAACTCTTGGTATGAAAACTAAATATTTTCAAACAAATATCACCACAAGTACGAAAATCATAACAGCTTTTCATACATCTAAACAACATGAAATGAAATGACATGAACATGAACATGACATGAAACTAAATCACAACAATGATAAGTAATTCACAGAGCGTTGCCGGACGCGACGCGGAATGCTATTATTGCATTCCAATCAGATATTCCCATAAGGCTAGCAATTTTTAGCTCTAATATGTAGGTTTTTAATAATTTCTAAAAGATTAATTTGTAAAAGTATAAAAAAAGATACACTGTAACTTATGTAGCATCCAACTGTCTCAAAATACTTCTAAAATTACGTTCACGAAGAGCAAGAGTTTTGGAGCGGGCGACTTAGTTTGGCGCCAAATTACTTTAAAACATCTCATATTTTCCAAAAATTCAAGATGACTTTATTTGAAGATCTGTTTTCAATGAACCCATTTCGTCAAGAAAATAAATAAAAATAAAAACATATAAATAAAAATAAATAGAAATCAAAGGACTAGAATGGATTTTGGAGCGCGTGTGTGTGGCGTTGCAGAAGCAGTACGGGCTGGACCCGGCGCAGGTGCACATGATCGGGCACAGCCTGGGCGCGCACACCGCCGGCTACGCGGGCGAGCGCATCGACGGGCTGGGCCGCATCACGGGCCTGGACCCCGCCGAGCCCTACTTCCAGGGCCTGCCGCCCTTCGTGCGCCTCGACCCCTCCGACGCCAACTTCGTCGACGTTATCCACACCGACGGCAAGTCCATCTTCTTGCTGGGTGAGTCACGAGAGCCAGGGCACTTTCTCCGCGACACACTCTTCAAGATTCCTCTTTAAAAATGTGCGCGCCGTCCGCAGGCGCAGTCTTCTCCGGACGCGTCAATTGGTGTTTGCGCAAACCGCGACAGTACATTACTTTCGCCGAAGAGTATAAGGAGCATCAAGCTGTGCGCCATTGCACTCAAACTTTGCCAATCACTCTTTGAAATGTAAATTTGTGTACATTTTCCAACACTTACACATAGTGGCTTCTCAAACTTTCCAGTCAGTTCATTGGAGGAGAGTTATAAAAAATTCACAATCATAAAGTTGACACGAAGTATCTTCATGAAAGTTTGTAAGTTATTTGATTGATACCTTTTTACATTATTGTGATAATATTTTTCACTCTCACATGAAAATTACTGAGCATAAACGTGTCTTATTCGTCTAAATCGAGTGTAATAGTTATCGTTCATGAGGAATTAAATTATATTATAACGATAATATTACTTATTATTAAATATCTACAAAAACTGGAAGCTCCACGATCACTCGCCAGCTCGGGAATCGTGAAGCCCAAGCACCACGCCTGTTCGAAGCCTCTCCGCGTGGTGTACCGCTTCAGCCTGGTCAGAACGCACGGGATCCCTCGCGCGTCAGATCCGATTTCTTAAAGCCATCCACTGCCAAAAAAAGATTATAAAACTCGTCCCCCTCTCCTACAAACTATATCTCTCCACTCCTATCTCCAAATCTACACACCCTAATATCGAAGGAAACATTATCGGAATTCAAAATAGAAGGGGTAATGCTGTGAGACGTTACTTTGTTTCAGGATGTACAAGTAATCTTATTGTAGCAGGTTTCCTTAAAAATATACATGTCTAACGGAAAGTAATTAATTAACTTTGGTCGAATATTCAACCACGCGCCATTTGTGAGGACGGAAAACTTTCGAAATAGCTGTGAACGCTTAGCGTTCCCTCATCTCATGTCGTAATATCTAACAGCTCCCTCTTTCCCCTCTCTCTATGTGCCTCTCTCCCTCTCTCTCTGTCACACACACACACACACACACACACACACATACACACACATGCCGGCGTGGCTCCACGCATGTAATCTGATTAGTTGTATTTCTAGCTTAGTTATGCAAGTGGTTGTTCTCTTAAGAAGCATGCACGAGTCGCCGTTGAGATTCCTAGATCGAAATCCCTCAACACGTTAAACTGAATAAAAATATACATTATCCCCACGCCGAACATTAACAATTCTCCACTCTGTGCCCATCAGACAAAGAACGCTAGTAAGGGAGTTTGGTGCCATTTGGTAGTAAGCGCTTGTAAACGTAATTTAAGAAATAAAATGGCATTTAAATACGCACTACAGCACGGATTTCAAGTTAATGATTCTAGGTGTGGCATTTAGAACTTAGAGTTCAGATGAGATTATGAAAAAATTGTTTCCATAGGAGACTAAAGAACATGATAAACTGTTGTAAATATCCCTTGATTCGTTTTACTCCATTAGGTCGAAATATTTTACCCGCAACTGTATGTCCAGTTACTGTGACATGTCTCCTTATTGGGATGACTGACGCGGGCGCCGCTTCCGTTGCAGGCTACGGCATGAGCCAGCCGTGCGGCCACCTCGACTTCTACCCGAACAACGGCAAGGAGCAGCCCGGCTGCGACCTCACCGAGACGCCGCTGCCGCTCACGCTCATCAAGGAGGGGCTGGAGGAGGCGAGCCGCGTGCTCGTCGCCTGCAACCACATCCGCGCCATCAAGCTCTTCACCGACTCCATCAACGGCGAGTGCCCCTACGTGGCGCACCAGTGCGACTCCTACCAGCGCTTCCTGCAGGTGGGCCAAACGCCACCTCGCTAACACGACTTAATATATAACATCAGTGTTTGCTCAACTCGCACACACGATTCCCCCTTTTTGGCCTAATGCTTCTTTAACGCATATCAAAATCACCTCCCAGTTCAAAAATACCTGGGAATCCAAACAATGTACTCCTCCCTACAACAATTATATTAATTTGTCAATAATATATCATTAATTTCAAATCGTCTATGAACAAATTTAGGAATAACATCCCCAAATCCGCGTTTTAAAATAAGTTTCCACGCGAATCAGTATCCTAACACCAATGACAAACTCCTGAAATTCTCATTTTATCCGTCTCAAATAAAACTAAATAAATGCAAATAAATATGTTAACCCTTTCTTTAAAGACCCAAGTAGGACCTACAAAGCAGTGACCTGCTTTTGAAACATTATACTAACTTTCTTATCTTCGAGTATAACACGCCCATGTACAGTCACTTGGCCGAACAGTATGGAAATAATAGTTAATTCCACTAATAAAATAATATTAAGGCTGAACAATAATATGCTGATAATCGCGAAAATATAACTTGAGATGCAATACCACTCAGTCCATTTTGGCGACTTAAATTTAAAGAGAGTGACACATACAATCACTTCATTATCGTTTTCCGATTTCCAGACGTTCGTCAGGTTCACAGAAATTTGATCAATCTATTGAAATGTATTTTTTTCTTAACATCAAATTTGAAGCTTCTCGTCAGTTGCAATTTTGTGTTGCATTTTCAAGATCTCTAGTTTGTAGTCTACTCAGCTACTTCGACAACCTGCCAGTGATTCCGCAATTGAAGGCTGTTTCGTTGCAACACAACGGTTCACTTACGGTCATGAATACGAAATAAAATATTTCGCCAGCGGTCTTCGCCAACTTCAAACTGCCGAACGCAAACTCCCAGAAGCAAAAGTCCCGCCCGCGACAGTCGCTTGTCATTGCGACGGGCATTTGCGCAAGGTGGCTTCGGCGGTCTCGGAACAAACACACACCGCGCTCGCCGATGACGAGAGCGCCTCTTTTCCTGCACGCGCTCCGGCGGCGGGCGCGAGGGTCGAAGCCAGTTGCGACTCGCCGAAACCGGTGGGGGCCGTGAAATCGCCTGTCGTCCGCCGCTTCGAGGCGCACTTCCGCGCACACTCCCTTCAAAGAGAGTACCTTCCGCGCTCCCTGCGACGCAATAAAACGACGCGCGTGGGGCGCCGCGTGCGCCTTCTTCTTTTTCTTTCTTTTCTGACAAAACAGACATAGCTCTTTCGCAAACGGTGCATAACAGGCATGGACGGAGTATGTGCAATGTTACGAGAGTTTGAGAGAACACTTAGGAACTCTGGGAAGCAGCGCTTCTTATGTTATCTGCGAAACCTCCTTTAACCCGATGAGCCACAGACCTTTCTCCCGCGCAGAGCGTCGTCCGAGGAGCTGCAGGAGAGAAAGTTTTCTGCAAATCCCGCGCTGGAAGAGTTCCGATTTCGTAACAACAATTCGAACCGGTCGGAACCGATTCGCGAAACCGGTCGCGCGCGGTCTCGTTCCCGAGATGCGAGTCAAAACATCCACTTTTACCTTCCGATGGAATGCAGCGACCAGCAGTCAAAGGCAATTCTACGCTGAGGGTCCAAAGCGGCTAGCTATCGAATATCTAGCATATCAAGTAAAGAAAAGATATTTGGAATTCGAAACGAAATAGAACGTCTTAAACAGAAATCAATACCAGAAAAATGAGGTTGAATATTAATGACGTTTTAGTATTGGGAAATTCAGTATTAGGAATGTTGTAGGTTAACGAATTTCCTTTCTTATTTTCCTCAATTATGCTTTTGAATACAACATACGTATCAAATTTATACAATCAATGTATACAAAGCAAATTTAAATATAGATTACACAATGTTAAACTTTGAAATATAATTTTATATTTATTGAAGTTAAATATAAGAACTTAAAAACCTATGACATAATAATGCCTCATACTAAAACGAGTATCATACAGTGCTAGTATTATCTTTCCCTCGAGTACATTAATTCAAATTCTAATAATTTTACTTTGATTTTGAGAAAATATCTAATTGATGCTCCTTGTAGATTTCTTCACACTCGTATCAATACTTCTTGATCGGAATTGATCAAGCCTCTGGATACATTGTAAGGAAATTATCTTGAGTTTAGGTCAATAATGTCATTTAAACTGTCAACTTTTCGGCTATTATTCAGCTTTCATCAAAAATATAACATCTGGAAACAATTTGTCATCATCATCATCACGGCATGGAATAGCACGTAGTACGTTTTATACTTGACATTGATCGTGTAACATAGACATTACATCGTATAACACGACTGCTGCAAAATACATTTAACGATTGGCATTAGAACTAAAGAAGTGAAAACTAGCCTAACCAAAAATTCGGAGAACCCCTTAGTAACCACCTTCATCTTATGAAAATGTAAGTTATTTCTTTTTCGCATCAAATTGTGAGGAAAGTCAACGCCATATTTTACTTGACTTCCAGTCGCGTGTGTTGGACTAACAGGTTAACAAAGGAAATCATGTTAACGTGTTACTCCAACAAAAGCACGTAAAACCATGGAACTTCTTAAACGTCAGTCTGCCTGTGCTGATACACACTCAAAACGCAATAAAATAAAAAAGTATATTTTACTTGTATATCGCGTCGCCACAGTGCTAATTGGGCTGTTTTAGAACGACATTCAATTAATTTTGCTGTATTCATTTGGTGTTTTCTAAAAAATAACAGAAATGTACATTTTTATAAGGTATCTCACGCCTATCCACATTTCCAGCGATTTGTAACCACTATTGTATTTGTGACTGGAAGTGCTTAAAATGACGTCATTTGAAATTTTTCGAAAACTCAATAGATTTCTGTGTAAAGAGGTTCAAATTTACAATTTATAGTAGCGCTTAAATGCCATTTTTTTTTAAAAAACACCACCAAATTTTTCAAAGAAAATTGCTATTTACGTCGATGTTTTATTGTTTCTTAATATTCTTAAAATTATATTTCCATTTTATTATTACGAAGCCGAAAAATTAAGCAAACTTCAAAAAAATGTACTTTGGGCGGCGATAGATGGCAGCTGACAAGAGTATGTGCCAATCAGAATAGCTAATCGAGAACAATGGAAATAGAAAACTAATACGGGAAACTCTGTGCCATTCTCTAGCACCACTACTTAAATAAATGCGTTTCGTTAACGTTTGCTCTTAAAATGGGAATAGAAGAATAGGGAAGAATATGGGGTTTAAGACGCGAGAGTTCTCGCATGGGTACTCGGAGGTAGTGGGGGAAAACTTGTGTAATGGCGCAACACAAAGAACAAACTTTTAAAAAGAACTAAAATAAAACAGCTTGAAATAAATTAATAACAAAAATCAAAACGCGTTAGCCTTCATTACTACGTGAATTAATGTACAAAAGCAACCCATGTAAAATTATAGAAATAATAGAGCAAATCATTTGACAACTACCAACGATAATAATCCATACGAAAGATTTAAATGTTGGCGGTATCTGGAAGTCTGTACATTAATGCCCAGTTATAAACTCAAATTGTAAATAATACACCGTTTCATATTAAACGTAACTGTCAGTTCACTATGATATTCAATACGTAAACATCGCTTGAGCAACATTCTCATGTACCGAAGTGAAGTCTAAGCCTACTGAATTGTTTCTAATGGTAACAAATGGTATTTATTACTCAAATGTGAAAATATAAGTTTTATTATTTTTGTCTCAGAATTTCTTTTATTGAGGTACGTAATAAGACATAAAATAATCCAATATTTTACAGTATACAAATAATTGTTCAATTTTCGCCCCCCCCCCCCAGCAAGCTGCGCCCTGCCCCTGCAATTCATTCTGTTAATTACAAATCCAGGAAAGTTACATTATATTACAAAGAGTAGGGTTGTACTTTCCCGATTCTGTGTTTTCGCTTGGAAAATTATTCAAGAATAATTTTTTATAATATTTTTGTGACTATCAAGGACAGCGAAAAGCTAACTGTCAAATGTTTTTAAGGAAGTATGAGTTGTTGGAAGAACATTTCTCCCTTTTTAATGCAAAGGATAGGGAAAGGGTGAGGATTACACGCGAGAGTTCTGACACGGGGAAGCTAGGTCTCTTTAATGTAGATCTGTATAATAACAATAGTAAAAATTTCAAATCGATATCTTCAATAGTTTCTGAGATAGTGGGTCATCAATATTACGAATCTAACATGGGCAACGTAGGAGGAGGGGTCTCACTCGAGAACAGTTGCATCACGCATCAACGGGGCATGCTGGTGCAAAACGTGCATTTGCATTGCCAGCGGCTGAAGCAGTGAGGCGCGCCGCGCTGCGCAGGGCCGCTGCTTCTCCTGCCACGAGAACGGCAGCAGCTGCGCCATCATGGGGCTGCGCGCCGAAGAATCCTTCTCGCAGGCGCCCAACCGCGCGCCCGGCTCCAAGTTCTTCATCACCACGGGCAAGGAGTTCCCCTACTGCCGTAAGTGCCCACTCGCGAAGCGGAGCGGACGTTTACAACGACCCTTTGGCTGAGAGGGAACCCCTGTGGGATTAACGTAGGATATTGGCCTGATTCCATTCTTGCATGTTACACACGTTGCACGATTTGTATTCTTTCTTGCCACCGCTTACGCATTGAGAAAATGGGACGTGAAAAGCGAGGAAAACTCGTATTGCTGGAACCTAGTAAAAAAAGTGGATAAATCCGGTCGATAAATGTAGAGATAGTGTCCTCTTACGCATGATGTAGCCAGAATCCACGTCCTAGATACCGAAAAATCGATTAACGGCAAAACGTCTGTCCGTCTGAGCAGCGCTTGCAGCTAAGCCGGTCATCTTATTTTCTACAAAATTGACATTCTCAAATCATTCATGACCCAGACAATTTTTCTTTCATGTTACATTTAAATCGAATTTTTAAGAGAGAAAACCTAATTGGGCTAATTTCAATTAACGTTTGGGGATTGCTTAAAAGAAAATACATCAGAACACTGAGAATGCAAACACATTTCTCTCAACACGGTCAAAAAATAATTTCTAAAAGATTAATTTGTAAACGTATAACAAATACTCGAATATAACAAAAACCTAAAATAAATATGATATAATATATAAATTCTAACGTACATCCAACTGCCTCCAATCAAGAACCAAATTATGTCCACGAAGCCCAGGAAATTTCTAAGCGGGCGACTATGTTTAAAGCTAAGTTACCACCAAAACTCATATTTTCCTAACATTTAACATGACCTTAATTGAAGATCTGTTTTTGATGATCACATTTCATTTAAAAAATACTTATCTTCATAAGTTGTAGGAAAAAGCCGAAAATATTTAAATGTTTCAATTTTCAAAAATCAGATTATTCAACGAAATTCCCCCCATTCGCTTAAGCATTCTATACCTTACACAGATTAAAATTTAATCAAATTAATTGGCGCCTTTGTTGAGGAAAGAAATGTTCAAACAAAGTTAAAAATTGCCTATTTTTTACGCAACATTACGCGAAAAGTACCCAAATTTTTCAAAAATTACCTGACCCTTCTAAACCAATCTTTAAGGAACAGATATCATTAAGAGCAAAAATCTTTATCTTTAATATTTTAGTTGTAAGAAGACTCCGAAAAATTTTCAACATTTACAAATGCCGAAAAATCTGTGTTCTCAACGACTCAAGAACTCCATTCTCTTAAACGTTCTTCACAATATCCAATAACAAAATGTAATCAAAAATGTTGGAGCCTTTTCTTAAATATTTTTAAAATGTCCCATAGGCTTCAAGTAAAGTACCCCCAAAATTAAAATATCGGTTTTAAATTCAAGGGGTCGCAACATCAGCATGATCGATTAGGGAATATAAATTTTGGAGAAAATCTGATCGCTAACATTGTTCACACACGGACGGACGTTTTGCTGTCACTATATTTTTCGGTATCAAGGACCCACAAAACATGAATTCTGGTAACACCACATGTTAGAGAATTTTTTCCTCAAAATTTAGCAACTGATTCGCGACACTTATTCGCTTCCAGGGCCCGTCCATAAGTCTTTTTGCCGAAAAATCGACGCTTATCCCCGCAGCATTACGTAACTTCCTTTACACTGGGTGAACGGTAACGAGAAAGTCAAAAGCAGGCCATCAGTGTACTAACTCTTGACTCAGATTACCGTGACATGTGACCCAAATTTAAGCGAAACGAAAAGAAAAAAATGTTGAGGTAATTGAAATCGAATTCTATTTTATAATTTTTATCAATTCAATCGCTATACCAAGGAAGTCCTAGAACCGCCAAGTCAGCCTAGTTATGGCATCGGCTAACAAGAACATTACGAAAGGAAACCCAGCTATTACCTCACACGATGAATTGAATCATTGAATTAAGGTGTCTCGTTGGAACACTTACCAGCAGACGGAGAAATTTCACGGTGAAGCGAAACACTTCCTGGCATTTTGCGTGTTTATCAGCCACGTCACTTCAGATTGTGCAATGCGACCTCAGATGGACAACGTATTGACCAGCTCGCATTATTCCCCCGTTAGTTCTTTCGCAGTCACTCCATGGCCATGTACTTAATGAAATGCAACCCGAAACCAACGCCAAGTGGCTCTAATAGAATTACATGCACCATTAAGTCCAATAGTAAATAAATATGTTGGTTACACGCAAATAAATCAAATGTTATGTAATCTAGATTATACGTATCTGTTCGCAGACCGGCACTACAGAGTCACTGTAGAACTTGCTCGCCCACCAAAAGCGGAGTCCTGGGTTCAAGGATTTATGAAAATATCTCTCCAAAGCGATACTAATGTGATAAAAAATTTAGATCTCACACCAAAGTAAGTATATAAAAGAAATCTCTAACTTTGTTACAATTAATTACATGATATTGTTTCATTTGGATGCTGATTACTGATCTGATGATGGTCCACTGCTATTAAGTTGCTACTATTACTTCAATTTATTTTAGTTATTTAACATAAAAACAGCAAAAATATGTGACGTATGCAGGAGAGGTACAATCTCTGCATGTTTTTTTCGATATACCAACTTATATTAACTCTCACTCCTGATATTGGTGTGCTGAATTCAAATCAGAAAACCATTTTTATCACAGCTTTTTTTTACGTTTTGGACTAGATTTTAAAAAATCTAGCTTTTCGACCATACTTTTAATACCTGGAACACTGCAGGTCATAACTCAATATATCAATTCTTAACTTCTGAAATATTTTAGAAAAATTGAAAAATTCTAAAGATACAGTTGGAATTTTTTTGTCTTTGAAAATGAAACTTTTTTTTACAAGTGATCGATATTATATATCGTTTAGTATTTCGTTCTTATAAAAAAGAAAATCACTTCAATGTCTGTTAGATATAGACAGTATAAATCGCTAGGTGCTCAAATCTCAGAAATTGCAGTCGAGAGGCATACCATCAAGAGCGCCTCGCTGGTTCTGTTTGTTTACCGTCTACAAATTTCTCAAGAATTCTTCTGAACAAACTCCTGAAAACACACTTGCCCCCATTCTCTACACTTTTACACCTAACAAAATACAACGACAAGACACGCAACCTCATCTCCGGAAACGACTTTTGTAAGTGACAACACGAATAACTTGAGAAATATCTTTTTTCGAAGAATCGTTAAGTGACCATGGCACGATTTTCATGCATGGTAACATTTTTGTTATACTTTCAAACTCAATATGTTTCTTTGTTTGCTAATAGTGAATGTCGTATAGTTTGCTATATAGCCTCTAGAGAAGAATTTCGACAGGCTGATCTGATCGGTAGTTTTCCGTGGTTTCGCCTAACAATAGCACACGCATGTCGGAGCAATACCCTAACAGGGTCCGCCATCCTTTCCACTTTCTTGTCCTACCCTCTCCTCTTACACAAACACAATTACATGCACGACGTTAACTCACAAATCGTGAGACCCGTCATAGTCGTAGAGTCCGTTCAGGCTAGGGAGGTGCTCCGCTGGCGGGAGACGCCTAGGGGGCGATACCATCGCAACTGTAGGTCGGTGCCAGTTCTCGTCATCCAGCGGAGGAATAACACTGAGACTCACCACGACGTAGCACGCACTACACTTACAGGCCTAACGACCTAGCTGTTGACGCACCCGGCACCACTACACGAAATAATCCGTCACTGAGCGGCGAGGGCGCAACGCCAAGGAAAGCTTGCGATCGGAGCTGGCGCTGTTGCAGCGGCTACATCCGGCTGCAGCACGGGCAGACGCGCAGCTTCGTGGTGACGCACCCCACCGACCTGGGCCCCGTGCGCCGCCTCGACTTCTACTGGGAGTACGACATGGACGTGCTGCAGCCGCGCTCGCTCTGCTTCTTCTGGTGCAACGACCACCTCTACGTGTCGCGCATCGAGGTCGCCGAGGTGGACATGTCCCCGCGCAGGTGCGTTGCTGGACACGGCGCAGGCAAATGCCAGCGAAACTGCTTCCCTGCTTGTAAATGAACACGAGACGACTTAATGTACGACATGAAATCGCTTTGGGCGTTCCTTTACATTTCCGAAGGGTACCTTAGGTTTTTTTTAATATTTTTTAGATTCAAAATAGTCACAATTATTATTGTGACTATTTGTGCGGTCGCATTCCACCAACGCTATTTACATAGCTAGTCGGATTAATGTTGTTCATTTCTGTAAAAATTGTGTAAATACGAGCAGGTTCAGTAGTCAAAGGTGGCTCATTACAAGAGTTTGGTAACTGTTTGGGGTCTCAGGGATCATTCCTAAACAATATCATTTATCACGGTCAGTGGTGCACTAAACGGGGAGGGGGCGGGGGCTTTACCAAGAAGCTTCATCCTCCCCATAAGTCGATGTCACAATTACATTAATGTTTACTAATTTTCTATAGTAACGAGAGTCACTCAGTAGCTCAAATGAATACTACTACTTCTACCTCAAGGATTAGACCGGTTGATCCGTTGCGACTAAGTGATCAATACATCTTCTTTTGCATTTTCCAATATTTCTTTTTCCTCTGGGAATAATATAGAACTTCCTCTGGGACGCGTTAATCAAATGTTCATATTAAAAGGTTTTTCCATTTCTTCGTATATTTTTGATATTACTGTTCAAGTTGTAGATTCTGAGGGTTCGCCGGATACGTTGTTTTCTTATGTCCCTTCTTGTTACTCCTAACAATTATCGTAAAAATATTTTTGCTGCTTGAATTCTGCTGCAAGGTCTGAAATTCAGTGTCCAGTTTTCACTCTCAGTTGATTATGGCACCATTCCTTTGAAAAAATACTCCAAAATTTTGTTCGCAAAACGATCAAAAATTACTTCTTTCACCTCACACACTATGAAAATTATCCCCGAAGATTTTTGTTCAATTTTCTTAAGAGGTAGACGTCGCTGTGTGCCCAACCTGAAACGTTGTGTGAATGAACCAACTCCTTAAAGCCACAGTCCGTCACAACATTATTTTGCAATCTGAGTAGTAAGCACAGGTGGGTTGAAGTGAAGAAGCTAAACACCATGAGATTTCACCTACCGCATCCAACTCGAGTATCTCTCCACAAAAGTGTGCGAGACGTTGGCTGCAAACGTATAGTATTACAACAATGAAAGATTATAAACTGATCAGGTTTTCCCATTGACGAGCGATATCTCGGTCAGGCCGGCAGCATATGGAACCGCCTAGTAGCCCCTCTACCATCAAAAAGTGCAGCGCAGCGTCGAGGAGGCGGTGCGCGAATTCCAAAATCGCTCCTCCGCACCTCTCTTTTGTGCTGCAGCAAGCGGGAGCTGGAGGTGACGAGCGCGCTGTGCTCGGCGGGCGGCCGCAACTTCGCCGACATCGCGTCCCGCGCCTCCGCCTCCTTCTTCGACACGTCGTGCAACAGCAGCAGCTAGCCAGGTGAGCGGACGTCGCGTCCATACTGCGGGCTCCATTTGCACGGTTATGGTTACACTCCTTCGCTTGAAATACTGCTCGAATTATGGAGATACCTGGAGGAGGAAAACTCCGCAATCTGACGTGTAGGCCGACGTCGGATATCTCGATCCATCATGATCCAGTGCAAGTTATATTCCGGGAGCGGTGTACTTCTCCCGGAACATAACAAGCACTACCGTTAAGGGACTGATGATATTAAGAATCGGCACGCCGGAGTCAATTCTCATGCGCTCGCTCTTCCTCATTCCACGTCCATGCAAAGCCTTTTAGCGTGTGATGGATACACTTTACCTGTTCAGATACACTTAGCTTGCATTTTAAAGACTTATAATAAAATTTCCTTCCAACCAATTACAATCTATCCCTACAGTAAACTCTGAGCGGGAAAGCCCGGCGCCTGGGGCCTGTCAGGAGGAGGAACCCGCGCGGTGCCCTTTCCCGCTTTGGAGGGAACAGCGGCTTAAATCGCTGGCAATAATGATCTCGCTAACAGATCCTCAGGTATTACCCCGTGGCGCGCAGGGGCCAAAACATGGCATCTGGCGAGAATTAACAGAGTTCATAACCCTCGGTCATTCACTACTACAAATTTAGAACTTCCCATCACGAATTTATCTCTCTCTGAAAGTGGCCCCTGTACTATCCCTGTCTGCTCGTCTATTAGTTCTTAAGCTCTCCTCAGGATGCAAATTGCTGAGGGATGTTGGCGAACGTCGCCTTCTGGAGAGTTTGATGTCCTAAGCTGAAATGGTATGTTACGCAGCTATTAAGTTTTATTGCACGAGTACATGTACGAATGCAATAAAGCAACATTATAAACGAGTTCAATACGTTATTTGTATAAGAGTATTATATATTTAAAAGAGAATCAAAGTTCATTTTTGAAAACATTGTGACGTCACAGGTATTTGACATCTGTGCAAAAAAATTGTGGTTGGCTGTTCGGTTTGCCCACCCAACGATTCTCTTGCTGCAGTTGGCTCAATGTGCGATGGATAGGGACAGGATTTTTATGCCCTAGAAATTTGAAGTATACTTTTAAAAATATGATTTATGACGTAAAAAATCTTTTAAATGTACTTTAATATGAAATTAAAATTAACAATGTTTCAATTCCTCTATAAATCATTCTTAATAAAATTCAGGAGAAGCATGCTTGGAACGAAATGATGTATTTTTATGCAAACATAATATGATATATCTTGATTTGAATTTGCCTTATTTTACGTGGCGAGACTCGGGCCATCAGGCACGCTCTTCAGTCTGACCACGCAAATTTCGCTACGTTCCTTTCATCAACTAGTAGAGAAAGGAGGTATATCTTGAGCGAGAAACAGGCGATTTGAATTTAGCTCAGAGGCGTCATTTAGGCTTGAGGATCTTTTACATGCAAGTAAATCTACTAACATGGGACAGCCGGCTTTACTTCCCCTCCGAAGGAAGGCGTATGAAGGATTTTGTCGCCCGGCTTCGATCGGGTTTGAACCCGCGAACTTGGGTATAACAGTCCTATACGCTAACTGTCACACCATCGCCGCCATACCTACTTCATGAGGGAAATAATTGCAGTAAATATTCGCTTTAGTGAAGTACATTGATGTCTTTGTGTATTATTTTCTTCTGAATTAAAAAAAAATATTTTATCAAGGAATATCCTACATTAACACAAGTATTTTATCATCTATAAAAAACGGGAAAAAAATAAAGAAAAAAAAGAAAACTGTGACAAGCTCTTTCGAATCAACGAACAGTGACAAATAAATAGATTCTATGAAAAGAAGTAACGTTTCATAGATTATTCTCCAAAAAAATCCGAAAGGACAAATCAGCCAAATACGCATAACTCAGTAGCCCGCGGCCGCCTTCCCGGGCGAAGAAAGCGAAAGCTCCGGACAGAGAGGTGCCGCTTCCAAGGTCGGCTATTTCAGGTTTCGCGGCAAACACGCTCTGCCGCACGCTCTGCCGCACGCTCTGCCGCACGCTCTGCCGCACGCTCTGCCGCACGCTCTGCGCCCACGCTCTGCCCCACACTCGGTCCAACGCTCTGCGCCCACGCTTTGCCCCACGCTCTGCGCCCACGCTCTGCGCCCACGCTCAGCTCCTCGCTCTGCCCCACGCTCTGCGCCCACGCTCTGCGCCCACGCTCGGCCCCACGCTCTGCGCCCACGCTCAGCCCCACGCTCGGCCCCACGCTCGGCCCCACGCTCGGCCCCACGCTCGGCCCCACGCTCGGCCCCACGCTCGGCCCCGCGCCGCGTCAGGCTGCGAGGGGGCTGCCGAGGTGGCGGCGGAGTCGAAGCGATGCGAACTGGTAGTGCTCTGTAAAACAGTTCTCATGCGGGACGTAATGACGACGAGACCGTTCTCATCGGACAAAATAAAACTCAGGTAATCATTATTTTCTTCATTAAACATCAAATTCCATGAAGAAAGGAGAATATTCAATGCATTTAGCTTTAAAATTCAACTTTTAAGATGTATTACTGACACCTCAATAGCATGTCAACTTTACCCTAGGAGACCTAAAGGGGTTTTGTACCCTAGAACATCTTTTTCAGTTAATTTTACTATCTATTTGACAATTTTTTCTAGTTGATTATTTTTTCCTAATGTATCGAAAACGCGCAGGCCTCGGAACATCGCCAGTTGGCAAAAGTCGGATTAATCCATCCCTAAAATGCCAAATACGCACATCGTTGTACATGAAACACTTGCCACACAATAAACAAAGCCCAACTTGCCGTCTGTGAGGTAAACAGTAATGTGAAGACGCTTTAAAATTAATTAATAAAATTTTAACGCCTTACCTTTGTCATGCGAATTATTGTTTTCAAAATGATATCTGTCCACCTAGCAGCTGTTTCTGCCTCTACACAGCCAGCATGACGTGGGCCAGGCTGCGACTTGGCAGATTTCTCCAGGGGCTAAAAAGTAAAAAAATAAAAACATAAGATAATCAGAACTAGAGATGCTACATCAGATACTTTCTGGCATCACTGGAAATAGATACGGAACATTGAAATACTGCAATTTCTGAGTGTTCGAAATAGGAATGGGGGTGGGACTCAGACCCAAAAATAAGGGTTTTCTGTCGAAAATTCGCCGTTTTTTTTTCCCCTACGGCATTACAATATCTTCTCTATACAGCGCTCACCATATCATGTATGAATCCTAAAAATGTCGTGGAAACGTTTCCTTTTCCAATTTCCGCGACTTAGACATTTCAAAGAGTGGAAATCATAAATAAAACACCCACAAATTGTATAGCTTCGTAGGCTTTCACGGCCGGAGCCAATGGAAGATAAATTTTCCGAGCTGGTAGGCCGTGGCCCGGTTGGCATTGAAGGACCAGAGACGGCCCTTCAATGCCATGGCCTACCAGCTCGGAAAATTTATCTTCCACCCACAAATTGATTGATTGTATCCCTGACAGGGTGAAATCAGTACTTTTCCAGCATGGGTCTTTCAAACGCTTCAGGTGGGAATATACACCCACCCCCTCCTGCTCCGGCGTCAATGCAGCCTGCCTTACATCTCGAACAAAATGTTTGTGTCTGCACGCTCACAATGACACGCGCTCAAATCTGAAAAGAAGTAACTGGGCTTCCGTGGCCCTCGCCGCGGGCGTTGGGAGGCTGCGTGGCTCTATCTTCCGACACAACTCAGTCCCCAATCGCTCTCAGACATCAGAAACAAAGACATTTCGAGAAAGCACTGTCACGTAGAAATACTTGTTCCCTCGCTCCCCTAGAGCATCTGTCTGGATAACAGGAGGTATCGGGTTCATGGCCCGGTTGAACGAAATATTTCACACCGTGCAACAATTCATGTTCAGTAATACGATATTGTGGTGCATTAGCGCTGCTTGCGGATCCAACTGTTATCCTACAATGTGCGAGTTATTCCATTTCGTTATCTTCATCGTCGATGCCATTTGTACTAAAAAATGTATTCAATGGTAACATTTTTATTAACATGTTCCCAACCTTTATTTTGTCGTAAGGGAAAACGCAGCGGCGCCTATTACCTCGCGCGTGTCCGTTCATTGCAGGGGACGCGAGCGAGTCCCGGGGCGGGCGGGCGGCCCCGGCGGCAGCGCTCCTGGCGGCGGCGGTGGCAGCGACGACGCTGGCGGGGGCCGGCGGCGCCCTCGCCCTGCGGGCCCTACCGCGCCGTCTCTCCGCCGACGAATCTTCCAGACGTCCACCGCGCTCCCAGTGCAGGAGTAAAATACACATCTAAAGGAGCAGAAACACGGCGAGAGCATTAGTGTACGCTCCTGCGAGAACCAATGCAATAGGAGTCCTTCGATTTCCAAAGAATCGCTCGAAGTTGGCCAGAAATTAAATTCGGGAGTCCAGAAAGTTCAAATTCCATAAATTAACTTTAGTGAGGCGTCTGCTCACAAAACTGATGCCATTCACACAGGGATAGATCTCAAAAGCTGCATCAATAACTTTGTAAAAGTTTGAGTATGAAGTTAAGAAAACAAAAACCATTTACATGACTTTTTAATGAAACTCTTTCTTTAAAAAAATCAGACACTCATATTATTCAATGATTTTAAAGCACATTACTGTCATTCCTTACCAATATTTTGTTCTTGCTGACCTCAATAGATACAATCTATTACTATTTATTTTACCTTTCTTGAGAAAGTGGTCATGTCAATAATCTTACCTTTAAACACTTGATCACAGAATTGGATTTCCTTCATTACTATTTTGATTCATTAATTTAGCTTTCACATAATACTGATATTTTCTTGGGATGATGTTTGTAATTTGCCAATTATCATAGCATTGGTTTTCTTTTTCAATAGTTATGGGATAAAGATATTTTCTCTTGCCCTTTTTGAATTTGAATATTTGATGTCTGGAAAAATTGTCATGACTGGGTGTTATTTTATATCCTCAGTGTCTGGAGAAATCCAAGATGGGTGGAATCTCAAGGATCAACTCTATTGTGTGATTTTTATGATAGTTTTCACTAAGGTGCACTGTGTTTTGCAGATTTTATTTCTCATGAAGCATCACACACTAAATATTAGAGAGCATGCATTACACTTAATATGCAGAGCTCGAAAATAAGTGTAAGAACATGTTTTTTGTTAATTTTATGTACCTGATTTCTGTTCCATAAAGCAGTATTTTTTTAGTTTTATTTATAGAACTGACAATGTAGGTCTTATTAGTGGTTATACAATGTATATAGTCAGATCTTTTATCTCTCATATATGTTTTGAAAATATATACATACATATAATATTTTGGAAACAAATAAAATTGTATGAAGTAAGCTTATATTTTGTATAATGTTTAATTAAGGATAGAATACCATTTCAATGACTTGTTTCATGTGTGATGCATGTTGTAAATTGCCAATGAAACAGAAATATAATGTAGTGGAAACTAGCCTATAAAAGATGCTGTGAATTCTCTTTAATTTCACAAAATTTATGAATTGTCTTTACAAGCTGTCCAATGTAAGAACTATTTTCTTGGTGACGCAACAACTTCATAGAATTATATATGAATAAATAAGCATAATATAGGTTTTCTTAAAGAATATGGTTCTTTTAAAGATTTAGTGCAAGTAGTTTTTTAGTTATTCAAGAAGAGCAACCATTTATCATGGCTGTGTTATTAGTCAATTTTGTAAACTCTTACTTTTCTTAATGAATAACTATCACTATTTTTACTTTTCTTTATCATATTCGAAAGGATATGGCTTAAAGGAGATAATACAACACTTTAAAGACATCAACAGTAACTGTATGCATTAATTGTAAACCACTAAAAATGTAAGACCAAAATAAAGTACAACTTAATATACTAAATATTATAAAACTGAATAATTTATTTATTAGTGATTATTTATTTTAAATATTCCCGAATCAAAATTCACTGAAGATTAAAAAGTGGGATATCCAATTCTACAAAGGTAAAAGAAAAGTATTTAAATTATAAAATAAATAATCATGCCATTTAGCAATATAATTATATCTACAAAATAAAAAGTTACTATTCAAATATTGAGTTGCTATTCAATCTTACAAATAACACGTTTCAGAATTGTTGTGTGTATCCCGATTCGGAAATGCTTTCCAAATTCGATGCTTTCGTAATACTTCTTTTAAAACACCAGGATAAATTAATTTCTAGCATGGACAAAATTTTAATTTTCATATCATACCCATTAATACTAATATAGTTCCTAATTTAGTTGACTTACACATGAAATACCATGCTAAAAAAATGTAATTCATGGAATGCATAAAACCATCAAAAACAATTTTTTTACCCAGTAACACTTCATATGTTCAACATTCAGTTTAATTTAAATTATACATTTCTATGCTGAAAGTAAATAAAACTTACATCACATAAATAATAAGTATAAATTATTTCTACCTCACAGAAGATAAATAAGCTCAATTTAAAATTTTTCCCTCTTCTTCTGATGAACATATGACTCATTACATGAATAAAAGAAGTTAACTATCTGCAATACAGCGTAATATATTTACAATATTTTCCCTGATCACAAATTTTGCTAACTCACAAAAATCTTGATTATTTATGGCCAATGAAGCTGACTGATAGTGCAGGGATTTGGGGCAAGAGGCACCCAAGTACATATTACACCAAGGCTGCAAGTTGGTCTCCCATGTAAGGGATTGCTGTTTTCAGTTGTGATTGTGGTTCTCAGGTGCCTCTAGATGGCAACTGGGAAAGTGTTAAGGCAAATTGTTAGGGTAGATCTGACTATAAGTTAAAAGGGACTTTTTTTGTATGGACACCTCACAGGTTTCTCAGTTAAAACCAAATATGCATACGACTTATTTCTCTGCAGCTTACAGGGAGAAAATAGATTTCTCAGCCGAACAGATACACTGATCTTAGTTATCAAGAGTATGAACATGGTATTGTTTCATGATTTGACTTGTTTGATATGATATAGCTCTTCAATAAATTCTCTTTGCAAATTTTGTACTCTATATATTTCTAAACATCAGAAGTTTAGGGGAGCGCCTATATATACTAATAAAAGTATTTGAAGGCTTTTATTATGGGTGTGTAAACTAAGAAAAGTGAAACATTTTGACAGTTTTATCTTGTCTACTGTGAGCCCATAATTACACATAATTATAATATTTTTTAATGTGTTTAAGAATATTCATATTTTCATCTTATGGGTAAAAAAAAAACATTTCAATAATCATCAGTTTTAGTATTCCCACTTGTTTACTGGAAACGAACCTACATATTTATGTTTAGACTCAATATGTTATTTGAGGATGACACATTCTATATCTTAAGAACTAAAAATAATTTTCTCCCCCCTCACTTCTGTGTACATTGGCAGCAGCCAAATGCTGTGGGTCTTGAATGACCCTGACATCCAACACTGATATTCTACTGAACCAGATATTGTATTTTGAATGTTTTTAAAATTGTATTAGTGACCATCAATATTTCCAGGGAGGAATTTGAGTGTGGTCACGTTTGTTAATTAGAATTCAGATAGAACTGAGAATATAAAGTCAAAATATGATGAGGACAATTACAAAAGTTTTATAATCCGACTGAATCATTCAAAAGTAACTAGACTTTCCTATCAACGAAACCTGTGTTTTAATTATTTTTCACCCTTAGTCACTTTGGTCCGAAGAATGCCCAATAGATGGATATTTCACTATTACATGCTTTTATTGTGACAGTCATTTTTTTCATTAAAAATAAAATATCAATAATGTAAAAACATCAATGTCCAAAAAATCTATGATTTTTATAAAAACATCAACTTTGATGTCACATCCTTACTTGGTAGACATTAAAAATAAATTAGTAATCATTTTAAGTAAGTGGTATTGGTATTGTGGTGAGTTTTTGTTGGCATTTCCAATGAAATAATTATATGAGTCGTCATTGCCAACAATATTATTTATTAAAATAGTAGCTTCCGATGGCTTGGCCATCATCAGTTTTCTGCTGTATGGAAGCCACAAAAACGATTACCTAAGTAAGTGGTGTCACACACCAATCACAATGAGAAGAAAAATCAAAAAATATTTTGGGAGATAATGAACAATAACTTTAACTCAATGATATACCATTTTACCTAAGTGGTACCACACACCAAGCAAGATAAGTAGAAAAGTCAATAAATATTTTCAGAATAATGAACATTCAGTGCTTCTATAATCTGCCAATACACAAGACCTAATGCAAAATAACAATATACAAAAAGTCTGGTGGGAATGATCATGCAGCAAAATGATTCTGAAATTGAAAAGCTTTGAATTATATTGATTACAAAGATGCCTGAAATAATCACAGATTAGCAAATAAGAGATGATTGTCAAAAAAATTTTAGTAGAAAACAACGTAGATTTGTTGATGTTTTTAAGCAAACAAAAACATTTTTAACAATTACTCAGTCTCTTTAGCACCTCTAGGTATGTAAAGTAATACGAAAATGATTTTCTTGGAACAGATAATTTTATTATCCACTGAATTAGAACATGGAATCAATCATAACATTAAAAGCATTTGATGTCTGAAGAGAAAAGATCTCTCAAACAATGAAATTCCAAGGGAAACAACTTAGCCAATCGTTTTGCATCATACATAAACTTATGTTTATCAAGCCTTCAATCTGCTATTAAAGCTTGGTGAATTCTCCCACAGATGGACTTCAGCTATGGACATACATTTTCTTTGAAAATTTACGATGAAAACATTCATTATTTATCTGAGTTTCACAATTATTGATTGTTAATAATTTTATTGCCATTCTAATAATTGAAAAGTGCTCTATTTTGTCAATGTTGACAATCAGATCACAGGTTAAGTGTTTTACCCTAAAGAAGATACGTAAAGGTAAATTTCAAAGAGGTATAATATCTGTAATGTTTCTGTATTGTTAATAATATTGGTTAAAGTAGGGTACACGGTGTACCAGAGAAGTGTGGCGGCAGAGAGTTTTCTGAAGCCCTCCCTTAAATTACGTTACGCGCTCTGATAGAAACGAATAAAACTTAACGTATAGGCGATTTTCACGGCTCGCCCTTCATACGCTTTGTCCCCGCCGCATTGTAATGCCTATGTACCTTGTAATGCCTTCAAAGGCGTTTTCTCGCTTCGCTCGCCCGGGTCCAAGTCACGGCGAGGGCCGGGCCTTCGGCCCTCGCGTTCACAATAAACAACCTCGAGTCTATTCACCGCAAGATTACCAATACACTTTTATAAGACATCACTTTTCCAGAATTCAAACTGGGCAGTTGCCGCCGGAGCGGCGCGAAGTGCCAGTTTAAAAGACTCCTTAAGTTGTACCGTGTACTAGACTTCAGTCATAATATTTACTAATATTTAATACAAAAATGTTATTTTTAACAAATATTAAAACCAGCATTATGGAAATATTTTGTTGTTTTCTAAATTGACAATAGTTTTCAATATTGAGAACTAATAATGAATTTTAATACGAAGCTAAATTTACTATACAATTTTTATTTGAAAATTTATATTACAAAAATTCACTCTCACTTCACATAATAAATAAGATCTCAAAATTGGCCAGCCTCATTAAATGAATTGGTTAACTATACTCATTGAAGTAAAGAAAGTTAAGCGACATGAGACCCCACGTTTATCTGGATGAGTGACCGTCCTGAAACATGGGTTACAAACGATGATGAGCTACTGTCCAAAGGGATAAAAGGCATCGACTGACTGTGACATTACGAGACAAGACAAAACTTCATGGAGACAAATTTAACTCCAAATATTTAAACACTCAATGCCCTAAAGAAGGTTAAGATGAATTGAGTACAAGGTGCAATTTTTTTTTTAATTTTTTTTATTACATCTATTATCCAACTGCCTCATTAACTGGCCAGAACATGATCTACCTTGGCAACTCAGTCCATAAGTTACAGGTTAGAATCTATTTAACTGTTCAAGAAGGTTGATCACATCACTTTGACATCAATATGTTGTCATTGCTTCCGAGACTACACATGGTGTCAAATGTAGGGTACACAACACGCTTCATGAAGGGTATAAGTTGACTTGCTTATGATAAAACAATTTCTAATAAAAAGACTAATTTCTCAACTTCGTGTTACAATAATTTTTAATCAAAATTTTAAAATGTATTTGTACATAAAGAAGCTTAAAAGAAATGGAAATAAAGGCAAGACAATATTCTTTGGAAGAATGTATTTGACAAATTCCTGGAAGGAAGTGTAGCAATACTTTCTTTGATACAAAGTACACAATAAAACATAATACATATTTTTCATGAGGACTTTGCATCTTCTTCAGCTTGTTTTTTGAGACTCTGTGTAGCCATTTCCAGAGCTCCTTCTTTGGTCTTGTTACCACCAATGAACCCAGTTCCATGAACAAAGACACATCCATCAATTCCAGATACTTTCACCAGTTCATCATCTCTCAAGCCGTGCCAATCTTTCCAGAGAAAAACACGACATATGTAACTGCCAACCGCAACAGGTACGGCCTGCACCCTCCACACCCCACGATCACAAAATAAAACAAATTTAATGTTGGGATCAATTTTAGTTTCTGCCTCCAAGTCAAATAAGTGCTCCTTCCAAGGACAAAAGGTGTCATTATCAAAGATCATAATTTCACCAGACTCATGAGCTTTATACCGATTATTGAGAGCATCTCTCACTAACGATCTAGCAGGCCACCACACTGTTGCCTTGTAAGTAATACGATCCTTGAATTCTTCTCCAACTAATTCCAATGCTTTATAAAATCCATCTGTCTCATCCCTGTTAGGACTATTCCAAGCAGGGTTTAAATTTGCAACTCTAGAACTAAGATTTGTAGTAATTCTGTAATGTGGTTCTCCATCAAACATGGGCACACCATTATCTATTCCATCAATTTCCTGAATGAAGTATTCATACACCTGCTTATAAGTGGCATTAATTGAATCTTCATCACAATCTGGAAGCATGGCTTTGATGATATTATGACCAAAATGGTAATATACCAAACCAGCACTACTCAATTTTGTCTTCCAAGGATATGCAGGATTGAGTGAGTTCATAGATTCATTGAACTCCCTCTGATGATGATCGTATCGATGTCTAGATGTGTCGAACTCTCCACCAACATCAACAACTATGTCACAACTATCCAGGACAGTCTGATCACGAGTTCGGATAATTTCAGCATTTTTATACGCAGGCAATTGTTTCAACATATAGCATGCCAAAACTTCATCACAATGGAAAGTACCATTATGAGTACCAATAGTAACACTCTGCTCCGGTTTCATCCTGCTGAATACACAATAACGGCCGGTCCTGTAAACAAATATTTCAAATGTGCAACATTGAAATAAGAAAAAATAAGGAGAGGAATGTAATTAATTGTAAAAATATTTATGCATGTTTACAAACCTTATCAAATAAATGTCCAAAAATTTGGGGCAATGGAATTTCAAATTCGAAAATATCCCACGATTTAAGAATCTTGAAACAACTGTAAGCATTCAAACCTTTTCCTCGAAATTACATACACCCGTTCTCTTTCAACAAAAACTCATACATAACCTACAGAATCAACATTGAATGCCGCACTGGCTGCTCGTGAACCGAACGGAACACCGGCACAAGAACTTACAGTATCGATAATTACTCTTTGGTTACGCCACTGTACGCGGGAAACGCTTCTCATCTGTTTGCCGCTCATGCGCATCTGCTTATTCTGATGTTCTGATTGTCAGCACAACATTTGGCGGGAAAGTTTTGGGTGACAACCTCAGCTAGGCGCGTAAGCGATTCCTGGAGAATCGCCAAGGTTTTGACTGTATTATGCGGTAGCCGCGGTGGTTCTTATCACATTTGTTATTTAAAATTGTATTTACTTTATTGTGGTTCTGGCTGAGAATTTCGTCGACAAATTGGATTTTAAAAAGCACTATTTTTCAACACGTCAAGTCGCAATCTTTTCTTTTTGGAAACAGTCCGAAGTAAATTTTATCATAACCTTAATGATAACACTATGATGTTGCTTTATAATAAAATGAAATGTATCGGTTCCACAAGCCCTTTCATCGGTTATGCAATACGAAATATGCCAACAATTTCGAGCCCCTCTGCTATTAGCGTAGAAGTGATTCCTTCCGTAAATTTTTATAAATTTAGGATTTTTAAATATTCATTTTAGAAATTTGTATTAATTATTAGCATCCATAGAAATACTAAATACAGTAAACTTTAATAATCGTTTGGGAAAAATCCAGAATGTTCCTAAACACAGTTCCAAAAATTTTCGTAATTTTTCAGTAACTTTCAACACTAAGTTCGCCAGAATTTACTGCAATTTAATTATTAAGTTTTCAATGCACTAATTGTAACAAATATATATTTATTTAAAAATGTAAATAAATATTGCAATTTTTATCATATATATTTTTCAATGTTTGCAGTTTCCTCTGCTGGTTGCAAATTTGTATGATTGAATTTCCATATTCAAGCCACGTTCTTGAAATATTACCCGTTATCTCCAATGATTTTAATGTTAAAATTTTTTATGACATATATATTTTCAATATCTTTTGCTTGGCAAGTTTTAATGAATATTTGATGCCATTTCTTGCAATACATTTGGGACACGACTTGATAGCCCGAGTGGCAGAAGAAGAAAGTTGATTTGATGACCTACGTAATATTTGGGCTTAGCTTTTACACAAATAATGTCTTGAAGAAGATGGCTTAGCTTTTACTGAAATAAAGTCTTGATCCACAAACTTTTAGTGGCTCAGACATTATGCTGCTCTGTTTGTACATGTTCAGCCAATGCAAGTAAATGGCAACTTATGTATTGAGAGATGTGTTCTTTAGTGGGTTGCATATTATTGCAAATATGTGGAAAATCTACGTACGTTTTCACGTGAAACATCTGAGAATGCCAGGAAAATGTTTAGACGTGAGAATTGCGAATTACGGAAACGGGCAGAAACTGCAACCTACTATTAGCGTGAAATAAGCATCTAACTTTTCTTTCTTCAAAGCAGAAATCTACATTTGTCCTCTTTGTTCCGATTTTAGACTTCTGATTTTTAAAAACAGTAGGGCATCAGAAATGTTACTCTGCCTCTCCTTTTGCGCCAGTCCACTCTCAGACACAACTTCGTTATCGTGAAAATATAACCTTATTTTTACAACAAAAAAAACATTTACTGCGAGAAAGTGTCCTTAAACAAAACAAAAACGTGTTTAAACCATTAAAGGCAGAGGAAACCTCCCACGAAGAATGAACACGTTTTAAAAGAGACACGGTGACACCCAGTGATACTCCAGAAATCATATGTTCGGCGATATTTTGGCGGTTGTAGGAAAGAAATATAAGCAAGAAAGTGAAACATAATTGTTCCTTTATTAATGGACAACAGTGTAAACAAAACAAAAAGGCCGAATGTAGTTGACGCATTCAATAAAAAAGAAAACAAAATATATCTGTCTGGATTCCTTAGCCACAGTAATATTCGGACACGTGGAATGAAATAATATAAATGAATAAATAAACAAAAATAAAATTGATACTTTGTAGCATAACTGTTGTTGTCAATTACTTGCTGGAATCGCTTTAGCATAGAACCAATAATTTTCAGGTATTGTTGTACAATTTGTGCCCATTCTTCCTTGATTCTCTCTTGCAGATGGGACTTTGACGTAATTGGTATTCTCCTGACTACATTCCTATTGATGCCATAAATGCTCGATTTGATTGAGGTTAGAAGACTAAAGGAGCGTTTCCAGCACCATTGAACAATTGTACAACAACCATTCCCGCAATAAATACGATTTGTGTTTCGGATCCTTATCTTGATAACATTTAAACGAGTTCCTGATGCCCAGTGTGTTAAGAGATGTGTAAATTCTCTTTCAGTATGTTGAGATACTGATGTTTGTCCGTTGTGCTTTTAATAAACACCAGCTCCCCCACGCCAGCAGCTGATATGCAGCCCTACACCATTATGTGTCCACCTCCGTGTTTCACAGTTGACACAAGGATTTTGAGTAGCAATTCTGTATTTGGTTTGCGCAATATCATTTTCCTACCGTTACTGCCAAAAATATTAAACTTGTTCTCATCTACAAACATTACCTTACGCCACCACTCCTCTAATTTTGTCACACATTCCTTTGCAAGACTTTTAGCTCTATTCCCAGCACGGATGAAGGTTTCCTTCGTGGCCTCTCTGCCATGAAATCCGGCATTTCTAATTACTCTGCGCACCGTTTCGGTGTGCACAATGTCCCTGACGCTTCGCGCAGTTCCACTGCCTGCTAGACGGCACTCACCTTCGGATGTTATCGTACTTTCCTCAAAATTGCACACTGTTCTCTTTCTCAGATCTTCTTACGTTGTCCTTGTTGCGGTTTATATTCAATTCTGACTTCTTTCTCAAAACTCTTAATGATGTAGTGCACCGTGCTCTTGCTCATGAGTAAAAGATTTGCGATCTCCCTGCAGAAGCGTCCCTTCGCGTGGAGAACCACAAGCTGCCTCTGCTCGAACGTCGAGTTCTTTCCCTTGCGCCCCGTTGCAAGAGGTGTTTTGTTTACAGGGACTTTCGAGAGCAGAGTTTCGTTTGGCCTTGGTGGGCGACGGTGCGCTTATCGCGCTCTCTGGGAGAGTGGCGAGGGGTTAACAGGGCATTTTCCATTACGTGTCCGAATATTAATGTGACTTCGTATTCTTGCATATTCACACATAAATCCGTGTTTATGAAACGTATGTTATGCATCAGAAACATTCTATTTTGATTATTCTTTTCCCTAAAAATACAGAAACGTTCCTATGCATTTCTTCACATACAACTTCCGTGCTCGCGCGAAAAATTCCAGTCAAACAAGAAACTCCTTCTGTATTTGTGGCTGTCCGAATATTAAAGTGAGTCACTGTATGTCGAGTTTTCTCCATAAGCCCACCACTTGTAGCTTGCCACCCAGAGGCGACGGCACAGCCCTCCGAACCACTAAAGCCACGTGTTCTGCACATCGCTGTTGTCTTCCACAGAGTACACTTGGATTTATTTGCAGTGGCACTTCACGCAAGTCATCTGTTATGGTGTCATCCAATTGGAAGCTTAGACGTCACTGTGGTGATTTGATGACATCGTCACAGCTAATTATTTACAATTTTGAATAAGCGGAATGAGCTCTATAGAGAAAGAAAAAATACGTACATAATGTCAGACATCTACAAAATATCAAAATAACGAAAATTAAAATAAAGTTATAAATATGAAAGATAAATGAGTTGTAAAACAAACAAACAAATGAATGAATAAATGAATAAATAATATTTGGTTTGATTTATTTTTATTATGATTATTTATTTGGTTTGGTATTTGGGTTTATTATGTGACATCGGGCCCTCTCGCCTGCACATGCGGTGGCCGCCTCCAATCACGTGCCCGATGATTGGCCAGTCACATGTATAATTTGTAATATGAATAAGTTAATATTCCTCCAATTCTGGTGGTGATTTCGCTGATCTAGCAACACTGACTACAACAAAGAAATCTGTTGTAGTAAGTTCTAAGAATTCCAATAAAGGTGGCTGGAATCGATGTAGCATGATTCCTCTTCTGAAATTGTAGGGCTGTGATTTATTTGCAATAAAAACAGCGGAATATGCGCATATGTATGTAAATATATTTGGTAATATCTGCAATGAAAAAAGGAAAATATGCGAAATAGTATAATTAAATTGTAAGTGTAAAAATAAATAAAAAGTGTAATGTGGAAAATATGCTAACAGGAAAAAGATACAGAAATCATAGAAATTGTTACAAGCGACAGATATTAAGTTAAAGACTTAATTTTGAAGAACATTTATTTCTTAGGAAAATAATGGGAGATGCAGTTTAGTGTACATAAAATTAAAATAAATATTATGGTTACGTATTGCAACAAAAATATGACTTTCTGTAAGTTCACGAGCGGGAATTATTACACCACTCCACGTTTGCGCCATGAGCGGATGCATATTTCATTTGGACTGGTGCCGATGACAGATCTTAGCGTGCTTCTCTAGCGACTTCGCACGAATCAGGCGAGCGGCTATGCTGATCCGTGACTATGGCAACGTAAACAATTCCTCGAAAACCCATGGTTTCAGAGTAGGTCACATGAGGTACTGTAGCAAGTGGCGAGAGAACTGCCAGAGCCGCTTACACGCTGACCGAACTGTAACTTTTGAGCCCCTTATCGCGGATTATTACTGCCCTAGTAGTTTAATATTAATCCTTAACTGCCCGGTGTTTCCTTATAGACACGTATTAACATTTCACCATTTGTATAGATCTAATATTTATTACGATGAAGTATGGAATCGTTTGGCTTATTAAAGAAATTCCAGACTGTATGCCCGTGATGTTAGAACGGTATATCGTGAGACATTTTGTTGTAATCGCTTCATGAAATCCACAGAATAAAAAATGTGTGTGCTAAAAAATCATGGACGTCAATGTGAAGAAGTGGGTTTTATAGCATTGTTTCTATTTTAATTGAAGTTTAATTGCCTGGAATACATTTCGACATTTGAACGTACGAATACATATTTTTTGAAGATAGTTTTGGAGGTTTTGCTTTTTCTGTATAATGAAAAATATTTGAGCGTATCCACTTCGAAACTCGACAGATGTGTGGTCAAATCTGTTCCTTCTCTCTTTTTCTCTCTTATAACGTTTTATCAATCTTTTCGTCTTTATTTCGTTGTCAGAAGTCTCTAAAGGATATTAAATTAGTATGTTACCGTCCAAGAGGTTCTGAATATACTTTTGAAGGGGAAGAAATGAACCTGTATCCAATTCAAGGGACATTTGTGCATTCTATCGTAAAGGCGACGGAACTTTTCATGTAAAGTGGGTTGACATCTCCGTTTTTGCTGTAGCGGCCGCTCTTTTCAGCGATCCAAAAAGGGAACGCCTCCTCGAATAACAGTTTATAACGAAATGAAATGACATAAGTAAAAAAAGGGTTTTTGGGGATTCAGAATGTACCTAAAGTACAGCCTATCAAGCTGCTGTTTCATTCAGATAGTTTTAAGTCTTTCAAAATGTTGTTCCACTTGTAAATTTGAATCCGACTGACTAAAATTGTGCGATAGAGGTCTGCCCTGACGAAAAGAGTAAGTGAGGAGAACTAATCAACATATAGAAAAATAATGTTGGTATGTTCGAGATCCATGAAACCCGACACCGTTTGACCGATCCCCATCAAAGTAGGCACATTTACGTGTTTTTTCATGGAGAATGATTTTATCCTGTTCATTTTATTGTAACTTTACTAGATAGCGATTCAGTTAAACGAAATCCCCAATACACCTGGGCTTCATTGTTGCTGGGCATTGCCGGAGCGAGGGCGAGGACAGGAGGAGCCGGCGGCGTGGAATGGAGAGAGAGAGAGAGAGAGAGAGAGAGAGAGAGAGAGAGAGAGGAGAGAGAGAGAGAGATCGAAAAGGGAAGAAAAGGGAGAGGGGAAAGAGAGAAAGATATGGTGAAAGAGAGGGGGATGGGAAGAGAGAGCAGGACGACTGCTGGGCTCTGCTTGTAATTTAATAAATATAAGCAAATAGGATGGAAATATCCAGAGGAAACATTCTTGCTGCCGTTTTATGGAATATATAAAACTATAAAATTTTTTCTTATGTTTAATTATATAATTTAATATGTAAATGTTATATTTAATATGTAAACTAATAAGAATGTACACAATTTATAAAAAATAGAAATAAGAATAACTGTAAGCATGGTTGAATGGTAGAACACTGCTATTATATTTTCTTTGTAGAAATAAATTAAAATTACAAGTGTATTAGTGACAATGCAAAATATAATAAGAACAAGCAGATGAAGGTAACAAAGGAGTCTGATTCTCTGTACATTGAAGTGTTCGACCTGAATTTTTTGCTCTTATTCACATATCTTCACAAATAAAATAGAGGGAGGAATATTCACAAAAACTGCACTGGCTAGGATTTTGCCAACAACATTTCTTGTGTGTTATCTTTATGATTACATAGGCTATTATGCCTAGAATATAAAAATACATTTGAAACACAAACGACACTTCATCTGACATGCTCTAACAAAAATCTTCCTCACTGCTCTATTTAAAAAACAAGAGTAAAGATATGTTTATTGAACACTTAAGTTATGTTTCAAACTTTTCATTTCAGGAACACAATCGCACTATGGCACTCCACTCAAAGATAAACTGTATGATTCAAGATCAGTCTTTCAAGATTCACTGGTAAACTCTTCTATGCTTCATTGTTCCTTATTGCACCCATTACATGATTCATTATGTACAAGTAAGAAGAGACAAAAGATACTTGGCAAATATTCACATCCCAAGAATGAATCTGGGGGAAAACATTTGAAACTGTACATAAAATGTGATTTAATCACTATAACACTTATATTCTTCTTTAAATAAAATTGTTACATATGCCGGCAAAATGGTAATTCATGTAATTTGATGCAGGTATAAATGTAGACCCAAGAATTTACTATGGCAGTTAAAATGAGGTGTACTCATGACTTGATTTAATGTAACATCGAGTACGTAAAGAGGCATAATACTTTCCAGGGTATACAAAAATAAAAATATTCAGCACTTGTAAATATGCCAAGTACGATATATAAATAGATTTAACACTTGTTTCACATGACACCACTTTTCTTGCATCAAGTGGTCCGCATTAAAAGACCCATGATATTTAATTAAGTTGACTACAATTGCCAGGCACAAATGTGTCTTTTGCATTCTCTCAGATCTGTAACATTAAAAACAATAGCAGATCCTGTTCTGGAATCAGGTACTTAAGGCACTGGATTTTTCACTGTCATGTCATTCCAGTAACATTGTTATACATTTTTAACATGGCTCTCTTGACAAATCTATAAATTGTCTAATGAGAATTCATCATTAAAAGTTACATAACTGAGGACATTGAAATTTAATAATACTAATGTTAATATGATTCTTCTGTACATCTTAGAAATCTATTCAGTGTGCGTTTCAAAGGGCATAATACAAATCATGTCCAAGAATTGATATCTAGTTTTTTAGTGAATGTTAAGCACCTTTCAATGGTGAAATCACACATTATACATAAAAGCATACAATTATTATAGGAGTTAATCTGAATGTAAAAGGCGGTGTAATTTTCTTAGCATGAAAAACAATCTTCTGATCAAGTTTCATTATGAATTTTTCTTCTTAAAAATCATTAGAGAATTTTTGGTTAATGATGTAACTACATAACTATTTACTACGTTACTATTCATGTTTGGCAGTGATAAACAGAATGTTACACAATCAATGTTAAAGTGCATTGCAGATACAAATTGGAATAGGATCAGTTAATGGCAGAGAAGCAATAAAGTTTTCATAGACACATCAAAGATATCCACTCTGGCAATCAATTAACTCTTTCCGCAACGCGCCTGGATTTGGTCTCATCGCATTCCCTTTTGTCACAATTTCTTGCTACACCTGACTCGTGTTCCTATGCGAGAACAATGCAAGGCACATCAATTGCAGAAAGCCAGGAAGAGCCCCTTCCGGGAGCCAGAGTGGGAGTAGTTCTGAAAGCGCATGCGCTCCAGCGGAACGAGGGCGCAGCGGCCGCGCACAGAGCGGAGAGAGGCTATGAGATCCAGAGGAGAGTCGTTCCTCCGAGTGGCGTCGCGGGCGCCGGCGCGCTCAGTCCGTCGCGTTCGGGTTGGTGTAGCTGAAGCCCTGGAACTGCGCCTGGTCCATGGACTGCAGGATGCTCGCGTCCACAGGAGTCAGCTCGGCGCGCTCCGCCGTGAACGCCTTGTCGAAGTACTGCACGTCCAGCGGGTGTTTCTGCCAACACACACCTCAGTAAGCCATTCGAGCCATACTCAGCGAATGGATACAAGTGGAAGAAATTATGAAAGAAACACGTGATATAAGGGAACACCTCATTTGCTATTTCGTTACAAGTCACGGCACGGTTTTCAGTTCCTCTTCCCCATGATAACCCGAGTCAGGTAAAAAACGTAAATAATTGAAACGACATTATTAATGTAGCCTACGCATTTTGGCCACCATCAGATCTGGATGTGAGAAGAAAACAATAAGATTATCGTTCGTTATGTGTGATAAGCGTCGTCCTCCAATAAAAGCATGTAACATGTTCTGAAGCGTACGAATGATATCTACAGTTGACGGAATCGGATGAACGAGCAGCTCACTGTCAGGGATGACTTGCATGCTACGTATGTAAGTTCAACAAAGAGTGTTTTAAGACATGTGAACTCTTGTCACAAAATATTTTCTAGTGGCGAGGCCCACAGTATTTCCACATTGTCAGCAGCGTGTAGTGGAGTTTGGGGGAAAGTACTTGGAAGGGCTGAGGATGCGATGCATTTGCCTGCGAGTAGGAGTAAGGAGTGTTAAATTCGCCTCTCCCTGGGGATGTGGTACTACCACACTAAAAGGAAAGTGTTTAGAATGCCATATTATATGAGATGAGACCTACTCTATTCCTTGGAGATAAAACTAAGCACACACGGAAATGTGAATGAAAAGAAGTTGAAGGAAATATAAATATTAAAGTAGATTTTCAATGTCTTTCGTATATAACTGTTCATACCAAAGTATTTTGACTAGATTTAAAATCTAAATACAATAGAGGAGACTAGTAGAAACCACGAAACTGTAAAGAAACTCACATTTATATTGGTGACAAGCACAATAAAATACTACACAGATAACAAAAATACTGACACAAAGTAATGGCCTATGAACGTCCCTTATTCCTTATAATAAGTTTCCAAACACTGAATAAGGAAACGGGTTGCAGTTGAAGCAAGGGGCGAGCGATGCCCTACTTCCCCGATGTCTGTGGTTCTCGACTCTCGAGCTCCGGACGGGTCCTACGCCTAGAACGAATCAGTCACCGAAAATGTCACTCAATCTTCCTCTCGATGTATCTATCTAGATTCAGTTCGATAGCTTCTAATCTGGCACGATATGCGTTACATACAGACATTCCTAGTTTTGGGTACAAAATTGCTTCTGTCTGTTCACCACCGGCACCAATCTTAACTATCTTAGGAACCGCACCGCAAATAGAACTTAATCCTGACGTGTACGAGGCCAAGAATGTTCAACGCGGAATTTGCATTTGCTCCCTGTTCCGCCAAGCAGGGAGGAAAGCGACGCCGATGCTCACCACTCTGGGGCGGAAGGGCGGCTCCAGCTCGCGGCGCTCCAGCTCGCCCCAGTCGACGCTGCGGAAGAAGACGTGGTCGGGCACGTCGCCCTTGGGGCTGTCCTGCGTGCCCAGCCGCTTCGACGCGTCCTTCTCCAGCAGCTGCCAACACGCGCACGCCAGCCACGCTTTACTCAACTCAGTCACATCTGTCACTACCGCGTCATCACTAGGGGGACAAAATAGATCGCCAAAAGTGATCAATAAAACGCCCTTAAAATGCTTTTACAATGCCCTCAAAGCAAACAAAAATGACCAGAGAGTAAAAACCAGTTCAGATGAACAACTCCAACTGTTGGACATGTTACTGATGTAATCGATGATTCTGAGTTTAAGAGAACTCAGCTCGCAAACTTTTGGTTTGGACTGTTCTTTACCAGGAAATATCTGCCTTTATTTGTCAAATCGGACGATGGCGCTGACACGTGTCACAGGACCCTTACATTACGTAGTACTCCCAAAAGATGACATTACAATATATGATCAAAGAAATCAAATAGGCTACTCGGGAATTCTGTGGAGAACATTTGTTCTATCTCGTAAATATTATTTGAAACAAGTTCCATTAAAATTATATTAAAATCAATGAAATTAGAGAAAATGCATTAAAAATTACGGAAAAGGCAAAAAAATCACTATTAGTCGGCATGGACACAAAATGCAAAAAGGTCTCATAAAATGTGTAATTTCCTTTTGTCATAATATAAAATGAATGTCTACACTAAACGGCATTGCTGTAAAGTGAAAAGGCGCGTCATCGGAAGCATTGTGCGTGTGCGAGCGCTGAGGCTGACCGAAGTGAGCAGCGAGTGCGCCTCGCGCGACAGGAAGCGCGGGTACTGCGGCTGCTCGTTGCAGATGGACCAGAAGAGCTCGTCCTCGTCGCAGCCCGTGAAGGGCGACACGCCCACCAGCATCTCGAACACCAGCACGCCGAACGACCACCAGTCCACGCACTGGTTGTACTTGAGGCCCTTGATGATCTGCGGGCACGCGCAGCGACAGGCGCTCGGTTAGTGCTTCAGGGCGACTGCAATGCGATTCCCTTTCGGAACCAGCGTGCGGGTACAGCCCAGCTTATAGTGAGCACAAATAGTAATTTTTCAAACTACACAAAATACTTCAATCGAGAAGAAAAGCCATCACATTTAATATGCATCACCATGCATCAAATAAACACGGTTACCATGTAACCAGAATACAAGTATATGGACTAATATTGAATTTTCAAATTTGAATCTTGTTAAAGGTAGTATCTTAGAAGTGAAAGTCAGCCAACCTGAAATAGCAAGCTTAAACTTACATATATTACTCACTTTTGTTAGATATATAAGACGCAAATAAAAGCACACAAGAGGACGTCCATAAATTACGTAACACTGAAGAGGGGAGAAGTGTTTTTTAGGCAGCTTTATATAAGAGTAGGAGAGTCGTAGTTTAGTGTCACGTAATGCAGATATTTATTTTTAAAAGCTTCCAACATTTGCAGAAAAAAATCCTTTTATTCACTCTTATTCTAAAACATTAGCATATTAACAAATTAAATTTAAAATATAAATGACAGACGTTATATTCTCATTGTTACAATAAATGAATATATTTTTCACTAATGATGTAGGTATTGAGTGAATCTTTTAGATTACCAAGGAAATATTCAAAACTGATATATTTAAGAATCCAATTACTTGACGCAGTAGACTTGGAGCCTATGCATCACCTACGGCGGCATGCGCACTTGTCAGACATTTTCTTGCCTACGCCTCCTTCTTCCTTAAAACAAATGTTCCCAAACTTATTGTAATGCGCAGTCACGTCATCAACTCATTCTCACGATAATTAGAATACATTTTAATGAATACACAAATACAATTGAAACAACTCGTTTCTGCTATATAATTGAGTCTTACTTATTGTAAATGGGGGAGAGGGGATTGCCGCAAGCGCTACGTAATGACTAGAGGGGGGTTCAAGCGCGCGTAGAGGGAGAGGAGGTATTCAAAATTCTCCAAATTTGCGTTACGTAATTTATGGACGATCCCCAAGTTTTGTAAGTTCAAGATAAAAGTCAATCCAAGTTTAGTTTCCTTTCCTGTCACTTTGTCTAACCAATGTACTTCTTGACAGTAGAAGAGCAAAGAACGCTACCTCAGGGGCCATGTAGTCTGGAGTCCCGCAGAAGGTGTCGGCGGTGCGGTCCAAGAAAATTTGCAATTTGCACATCCCAAAGTCGGCTATCCGCACGTGGCCTTCGTAGTCCAGCAGAATGTTGTCCAATTTCAGGTCTCTGTAAAGAGAGTCCAGACATTAATGTACACGAAATTACTTACAAATATTGAAAGAACGGATTAGCCTTTCAACTACACAATGAACTAGCGAAAAACCAAGGGTATTGTTTCAAATTCTCAGGTATTAGAGAAACGGAATATTAATTTTGGCAAAACTCCTGTGAATAGCTCAGGAGTTAATGACGCACGCACACACACACACATGGATGGAGTAACAGACGAACGGACGTATTGAAACAAAACTTGTTCGGTATGACGGGACCCCAAAACGTGTATTTCCGTGCAAATCTCAGTCGTTTTCCCTCTTCTTTACTTAACACATACGACTCCGTCCTAGTTAAATGTGACTTCGGTGACACTGTTAACTGTTTTAAAACTTTTTTTATGTGATGAAAATTTCTAAATATCACGAATAGCTTTAAATAAATTCTTATAACTTCTGGCATTGGACATACTGAATCGTGGTAGCTGATAATGTTATACGCCCGTTTGAAAATTCCCAACACCCAATAACCTTGCATGTTACCCCCACACGGGATATGAACTGATAATATTGCAATTTCAACATTGAAATCCCCTTTGAAATTATTTGCAGGTATGGATAATGCGAATAGTTAGAATTTAGTACACCTACATTTTGTACCCTTTTTTGCAATATGCATCCTCAAGAACGTAATTGTGCAATACGCGTGTGCTTTAAGTTCTTTGACTTACTCCCAGTCCTCGTTGTCTCCGGAATTCACTTGACTTTTCTTCAAATTTAATAAGTTACAAGGTAATACTGTACGACGGTGTTTGCAAATTTATTATTAAAAACGAATTACGAACATTATATACGTATTGCAAAACACTTCACTTCTTATGCTCAAAACAGCAAATGTCAATAACTGACAGTTCTGCCCGTTTCACATATTTCAGAACAGCTATCCTCATGGAATAAAATTACTGTATAATCAACGCCACAAACAAAGATCTAAATTGAGGAGTTTAATTCTCAGTCTATCCACTACGATTGCAGCGCTAAAACACAGAAAAACCCGTTTTTGGAAATTTCGTGAACTTCTGCCCGGATACATTAACAAATTATGAGTTCCCCATTAGGAGACCGAAGCGTCGAATGACACATCATACGTCTCGATTTGGGCACGGGCAGTGGTTCAACCGTGAGTAACACACACGCATACTCGCAGTTACTTAAATACTGTATAGGGATATTTAGAAATCAAAGATACGAATTCAAACCGACCGACACAATCGTCAAGTAACGTAATATATGATAGCGATATATAGAGATATATAATACTAATAAGAGATATATATACTGAATATATTACTCGATAGTGTGGATAATAATGAGAGTAGTATAATAGCTATAATATATACTATATATAACACACACCGAGGACTGGGAAGTACAGTCCATGAACTTCAAAGCCACACGCGTATCTGACAGTTACGGTTCGTGAGATGCATATTGCAAAAAATGGGTAGCAAAAATGTACGTTACTAAACTTCAAACGTCATTCGCATATCCAATGACCTGCAATAATTCAACAGGATGTTCCATGTTGACAAATTGCCAATAGATTAGTTCATATCCCATGTGGGGTAACATGCAAGGTTATTGGGTGTTGGGAATTTTCAAAACGGGCGTATAACATTATCAGCTAACGATCAGTATGTCCAATGCCAGAAGTATACTTAAGAATTTATTTAAGTAGCATTCGTGCATATTATAGAAATTTTCATCACATAAAAAAAGCTTTAAAACAGTTACAGTGTCACCGAAGTCACATTTAACTAGGACGGAGTCGTAGTGTATAAGTAAAATAGCAATATAATATATATTGAGTATATAATATAACGTATATAGTAATAATATAATGACTGCACGGATAACGATATGTACATTCGCTGCATTGTGCCGGTCCAGCCATCCTGACCGGGAGTTTTCCTCGTTTATCTCTCGGTCACAAAGCGAATGCTGAGATGGTTCCAAAGATCCAAACACCTCCCACCTCACAAACTACACCACCTAACACCTTCCATTATCCTAGTCCTTTCACCCCTCATCAACACCCTACAACAACAACGAAACAACCAACATAATGAATAATAACAGATAAACTAATAATAATAATAATAATAATAATAATACGTTATAGGGTCGCAATCTGACTCAAAAACCGAATGGCAATGCTGTCACACCTTCAAAAGATCACGTAAAAGCATTTTGGGCTGGAATCTGAAGATCCTGCAGCAAAGGCGCATGCTGGCTTCACTCTGAAGTTGATGCTGCCGATGAACTTGTGGAAGCAGTGGAACATGTTCACGAATTCTCGGATGAGGAAATCATCCAAGCAAATAAGAACATGGAAACTGGAAATACCCCGGGTTTGATAAGTTCCAGAATTATAGAATCAAGAAATTAACAGCAATACATTCTCATCCAGTAAAGGCTCCAAATCTAATTATAAATCAGAACTTCAGTACCACCATAATACAAAAAATTATGGAAGATGTACCAACAGTACCATCCAATATTGCATTTATTTCTCCTTCTGAAACGTTTAAATTCATTAAAAACTAAAGACCAGAAAAACAACTGGTATTGACAATATTAATAATAAGATGACTAAAGAAATAAATAAAAATTCTATAGCGTCTCTTACTGCATTATTTAATACTGCACTAAGACTTAGCTGTTTTCATTAAGATTGAAAAATTTCTACTATATTGCCCTCTTGTAAAGCAAGAAAGGATCATTTCCGTGAAAATTATAGACTATTAGTATCTTATCTTATATATCCAAACTATATGAATCAATTATTCTTACAAGATTAAATAAATATTTCACAGATATTACAGCAATTCAAGTACACACAATTTGGTTTTAGATGTAATCGTTCGACTACTCATCAATTACTTCGCTTAGCAGAATTTGCAGCAAATGCTTTTCTTATTAAAAACACACTGCTGCTATATTTTTAGATGTAGATAAATCCTTTGATGAGGTATGGATTATTGGACTTTTATATAAATTGAAGCAATTAGGAACTTCTCAATATCTTTGTCAAATTATTCAAAGCTTTCTTGAAAAAATAGCTTCTTTGTCAAAATTAACCTAATTATTTCTAGGCAATATTTCATCAAAGCTGGGGTTCCCACAAGGTTAATGTTTATCGCCCCTTTTTTTAATATATATTTATCTGATATTCTATCTCTATGTGTGATTTTTAAATTGCTCTATTTGAAGATGACACAGCTCTTTTCATAGCTTATTCAGATATTTTATGCGCATACGAAAATCGTCAATATAATTTATTATTATACACTCAATGGTTTGGTAAATTAATTAAAATTAACTTGAAAAAATCATAAGCAAAAATATTTACATTGCGTAAACCCACTCCAACAATACTCCACTCACTCTAATAATTATTAATATTCCTTGGCTCTTAAAATATACTTCTGTTAAATAGGCGTTACCTTCAATGCAAATCTAAATTGAAAAAAACATATCAAAACATTAGAGACAAAACACACAAAATACTTTTCAAATTATATTCCACTGAAAATTCTAATTCCACTCTCAATAGTGAATGTGGATTACTAATTTATTCATCTATTATAAAACCTACAATTTCATATGCTAGTCTTTTTGGTGCAATGTAGCCACCACTCATTTAAAAAAATACAACTAGTACGTATAAATTTGTAAGAAAAATTACGTCACCCCCTGGTTTATTAGTGACGCTTAATTACATAGAGAATTTAAATTAGAAGCCATTAAAATATTTGGAAAAGCAAAATTTTATTTTTTTAATATTCTTTCTAAGCTCCTTGTTCCCTATTTAATTTAGACTAATCACATAATGAACCAAAGAGAATTGAATCTAGTTTCTCTTAAGATATATTCAAATCGTCTTGAAGTCAAAATGATTATAAATAAATAATAAACTTCGATTCTATGTTTGCTATCTCTCAACTTCACATAATCAAATTCACAAAATAAATCAATATCGTTAGCCAAACAAGGAAGTTAAGTTCTGAGTGATGGAGTCTGAACATTATTATTTTTCACTGTAACTCACACCCTTGGAAGGCAGTGAGGCCAAAGAAGCAGAATACATATATTAAAAAAAAAAAAAAATTTAAATTTTAAAAAAAGATATGCATTTTAGATTTTTAGTTCCAGCTTGTTTATTATTTTTGGATAGAGAGTAAGTGAAGTTTGGGGGGCGGGAACTGCAATTGAAAAAGATATACATCTTTTAGTAAGAAAGCGTGTAAGGAATTCCGGGTCAGGCAGAGAGGGCGGGGCATGGGCTCAGCTGCAGGGCGGGAAGAGTTCTTCATGTCGAATGAATTATTATGACTAATCCATTCTTGAAATTAAAACCAACAGTGCTTAACTATACACACAAAATGCGCCAATGAGGGCGGTGTATCTCAAAACGTTTATCGCCTTTTCTACCTGATTTTTCCTAGCGCTTCAACCTACTGTGACTCATCTATTTCAGGAGGCGGAATACATCGATCGTTATGTCGATGTCCAACAAACAGCGTATGAAGTATAACATAACCTCTGATTTTAACATCAGCTTTGAGTTATTTTCAATATTTTTGGAACCCTGTTGGTCATAATTTCAGTCGTGTTGTGGAACGCACCTGTAGACGATGCCCTTCTTGTGCAGGAACTTGAGGCCGCAGACGATCTCCGCGGCGTAGAAGCGCGCGCGGGGCTCGGCGAAGCGGCCGCTCTGCTGGATGTGGAACATGAGGTCGCCGCCGTTCAGGTACTCCATCACGAACAGCAGGTGCGACTGCAAGGGGCAGAGCCATGCTCTCACGTAGACGTTAATGCGAGTTGTATTACGTTATAGATGGTTCATTACGGGTTTTTAAGAAAAATACCCAAAGATTAGGACACGAGCACGGTAATTACGAGGTTTGACAAGTGTGGGTCTGAAGGGCAGAGGGAAACAACAGGGAAGTGAGGGTAAAGAGCCAAGATGCGATGTTGCAAATATGTTTAGGGTTTGCGGACGTGAATATCCCCCACCTAGTTACAAGACACATAACAACGGCTTTTTGTTGATGAATGAACACACATTTTCACACTTTTCATCACTGAATCTTCGAAACTTTCAAAATATTGAAATTTTTCCGGCGTCTTGCTACAACTACGAAATTGAGATTTTTCTTTGAAATATTTTTTACTTCTTGGTGAGTTCTTTCATTTTTTATACGTTTAGTAGTTTTCTAGATATATTGCGTGCAATATGGGCAATTAATTTTTTTTAAATGTTCTCAAAAAAAGGCTCCAGTTGGTTCTTAATAATTATGATATGACATAAATAATATGACGTAAACTGTATATTGCTCTACTCTTTTGTTTTTTTATCAAAATTACAAAAATGTATTTTTTACTTCTCTCACGACGTCAATATTCACATTAGAGAGGTTTTGTTCACTATATTATATTTATGAGTACATTTGCTTTTAATAATGTCAAATAAGGTTTCTTGAAAACTAAACCGTTTTCTGTGAGAAACTAGCTGAAAATGCCGCATTTTCAGAAACGTTCACACGCCATTTTCTTAAAAACGCGTCCAAATTTGTTTTTCAAATTTTTCGAACGGATAGTGCTAATTGCACTACTTAATAATAGTAAAGTTCATTTTGAGATTTTTTCTGTTTTTTCAAAAATTACACAAATGTTTTTTAATCAGTCAACAGTCTCAAACGCCGTTGATATGCACATTTCCAGCAATTTGTAAACTCTATTGCACTTGTTAGTTAAACTGCTCTAAATTACTTATGAAGTTTTTCGAAAACACAACTACGAGTATTTTCTGTAAAAAGAGCTTCAAATTTCGAAATTTCAGTAGCGCTTAAAAGGCATTTTCTTTAAAACCGCTCCAAATTTTCAAAGAAAATTGCCTTTTAGGACGAGGTTTTACTGTTCTTTAATATTCTTAAAATAATATTTTCGTTCTACTAACTAGAAACCGAAAAATTAAGAAAATGTTTTTAAAAAATGTACTTTAGGCGACGATAGTTGGCAGCTGGCAAGAGTATGTGGCTAGTTCGAATAGCTAGCCGAGACCAAGGAAAGTAGAAAACTAATTCGGTATATTCTGTGCCATTCTGTAGCACTACTAGTTATTTATTTACTGAGGGTTAGGGGATCTTCAACTTCTGATATCGTGAGACCTGTGTGAACCCATTAACGATCTAATAAGACGATAGATGTAATGATAATGTGAATAAAGATAGAGTAATGGTGGGGAGGAATATGTGAACACCAAGAAAACCAGTTAAGAGCTTGCTTTGTCTGCGCTAATTTAGACATCGGGGAAGAGTTACACCTACAAAGAAGGGGAGCAACAGTAGAAGGATAAATAACAACGGGTCTCAGCAGGAATGTAGTTTTGTGGAGGGGGCGAAGAACAAGACACATTTTAACTCATTTAATGGAGGAGGTGGATTTAATGAGGTGTGTTATGTGGTTCTGGCAAGGCACCACATCTCTGCAGAGAATAATTTTGAAAAATATAAACTGTGAACATGGAAGTCGTTTGAGATTTTGGGAGCTTCAGCAAAGGCAGATGATGCATCGAATCTCCAAACATCCAATATGTGTGTTGGCGTCGCCCACGGTCCCAAGCCAAGTGACTTGACCCCGCTCCTGTCGCCGGGCGAGATCGCCTGCGCACGTACCTCCGTCTGGAAGGTGCAGAAGAGGTGGCAGAGGTACGGGTGCTTGGAGCCCAGCGAGAGGACCTTGCGCTCGATCAGCGTGCACTCCACGTCGTCGTCCTCCAGCACCACGTCCTTCTTCAGGCACTTGACGGCGTAGTAGCGGTCCGTGCCGCGCAGCTCCGCCAGCATAACCTGCGCGACGAATAGACTCGTTCTGCACAGCAGCAGTTTACGTCACGAATCACGTCACTACAACACGGGCACTATTTTGCAAGGAGAGCGAGAGAAACAAGGGGCATAAACTGACAATTTTCATCGGTGACCAACAAAAAATAACACGATGAAGATGTAGTTAAAATCAAATATGCAATATTTAAATATTGCTTCATTAATGTTTCAATGAATTGTAGCAAGTTGATAAGTTTGGTGATAATAACAAATGCATTTTTTAATCATTGTCACCTGCGCCCACTGCACCACCCTCAACATCAGTCCAAATTCAATTTCCACTCTAATGCACGTATGAAATGTAAGGGTATCCCTTTAAATAAAATTGATATTATCATTACATTACAGTTCAAAGAATAATTGAGGTAATTAACCATATGTTTTGTATTTTGTTGTTAACTCATTAATACTACTCCTGTGTTGAATAGAATATCTTAAATTTTTTTAATACTACATTTTAGATAAATACATAAAAGCTGAGTTGGAAGAAAAAAAAATAACCCGTAAAAATGTAGCCCCTGCATCGCAAAATACTGAAAACGTTTCGTTCGAAAATTATTTTGCATATACAATTTTCCTTTAATATGACTGATATTCTGCTTATGCTGATATAGGGTCGAAAGATGAAAGGATATTTTCGTAAGCAGCACTCACTCGATACCTTGTCGTGGTGACCACAACAAACACCTGCCTTTCAGAGCGTCGCAAGCTGCCAAGAGGGGCTGAACTGCGCGCACCCGTGCGCCTTTAGCGACCTTCCCAGCTGTTGCGTCAGATGTGTTTTGCTATTCCGAGTACCGCTTTCCTCGTCCCCGCGAACAGTCGTGTTGAGTACGGCACAGCGGAATTACCTAGTATTGCTTCTGGGGCCTGCGCCTTACTGAAATGCTCTCTTGTCAAACTAAAGATGTTTCTTTATACTAAAGACACAGAAATTTACGCTTACGAAACGTTTTATGAAAATACGTGAAATGAAAAGGAAACAGAGGAGTTGTAAGTGTTGCAAGAAGCATTGCGAAGAACACAATTCAAAACACGCAGAATAACAGACATTGAACTACTGATGCTACATAACGTGGAATGAGAAACACAAAAAATGTTAAATAAATCGTGGAGAGTGAAAGGTCACCATTGACAGTATCTAAAAAGAATGGGCAAGGTGGAGATCAATAACTTCTGTGGTTTAAAAGGAGAAGAATGAAGTCAGAATTGGAAGCAGCAATGGCTGCCCAACGTCAGAAGTTTTGAAGTTGAGAACCCGACATTATGATAAAGCAGTTCTCAAAATTTCCCAAGATGATAAATGCCGCATTTGCCTGAATTAGGAACCATTGATCATATCGTCTCAGCTTTGTGAATTCTTGCAAAGACCGAATACTTGGAAAGAAACGATAGGGTGTGTAGTTAACTCTACTGGCAGATCTGTACCGTCCTCGAAGTTCCAAATACAGGTCTCGAGTGGTTACGAACACGAAAACAGGTGACGTTTTTCGCGCCACCACCAAAAAAACCAAACGGATATTGTTATCCGATATTTAGAGAAAAATCGTGTCTCGTTGTAGATGTAACTGTGCCATGCGATCTAAACATCGTAACCAAACGTCTCAAACACAAGAGTTTGGAAACAGAGATCTGCCGAATGTGCGGCGTAAAAACACAGTCGCCCTGATAGTAATCGGAGTTCTGCGATTTATTCCACAAAATTTGCGTAAGAACTTGGCTTAACTACCAGGTCATTCAATAGAGAGGGAAGCGAAATATTTTGCTTCATTTGGAGCAGATCACTTTTTGAGCAAAGTATTGTAGAGGCACCGATAGATCTGCTCCTAAGGATACCGATTGCAATCCGGAGTAGGCTTTATGATCAACCAACTCATAACATCTTTAGTCGCGTCTTAGAGGAATGGTGAGGGTGTGAGAGCGGGTGGGCGGGTTGGCACTGACCTTGCCGAAGCTGCCCTTGCCGAGCAGCTTGAGGAACTGGAAGTCGTCGACGGTGTACTTGCGGAAGCGCGGCAGCGAGCAGGCGGGCGGCGTGGAGCGGCCCGTGGCGGCGCGCGGCAGCAGCCCCGCGTCCTCGCTGTACGGGTCGAGCAGCTGGCTGGAGGCGAGCGACGGCGACGGCGAGCTGGAAGCCTCGCTGGCGGTCGAAGGCACTGCAGCGCCGCCCAAAGCGCGACGCGTTAGCGCCCGACGCCCCCACGCCCAGCGCGCGGCGCCGCCTGCTGCCCTCGCCCACGTTTGCTTCTCGACCCGGTGCAACTTAATACTACATTTACGTACACAGAGATGCTCCTAGATACAACAGCACTTCCCCACCGTCTGGAGAATTACTCGCGTTTCCATGATCCCGAAACCCAGCAAGGATCACCGGCTCTCATTAAACCACCGTCCAATACGCCTACTAACGACAATTTTCCTTCTTTTATTTTTTAGTTCATTTCCCTTGTGAATATCAATATTTTAAAGCAGAAGCTTTTTAAAAATGTATTATTTATTTGAAACAAACAAAATTTACAATATAATACATTTTTCCAGTTCATGTTATATTCTTCAAATGATAGCAAAATGAAGGAAATTATTTCAGCAATCTCTCACATCATGATAAACATAAAAATGAAATCTAGGCAATTCCAAGAAGGCATGGTATGTTCGACAGCACTTATATTGTGACCATTTTCCATAATTATGAATGTGAATGAAATTCCGACGAGCTGGCGATATTTTACAGGCAATCACGAGATTATTATGGGCGTTGTTAAATAGAAAGCAAAGGGCTTAATGTTTATACTATGTTGTAAACGATTATGAATAAATAGTGTTCGTTGATTTGGTGATATAAATCTGTAATGCATTCTTGCCAGAAATTAGAGCAGAAAGAAATATTCATTTTTTATGATTAAGATTTTTAGCTTTAATACAAGTCTTATTCAATTAAAGATAGTTAATGAAAAAATAGTTTATTACTGACATCATCAAATAAAAACGATTCAATATTACAACTTTGTCTTTAGCACCACACTAAATTTGGGATTACATTGTATCAAATCGGATTAGATAATCAGCACTTGTAATACGTGGTGACCCAATCAAATCGTTCTCGACGAAGTGCGCCCACTGCGTTTTCGGCGTCGGCCGTTCGGGCTGTTCGTCGCGGGAGCGCGGGGCCTGAGGCGGCGGTTTGGACGGCGCCCGCCGGGCGCGCCTCTCAGATCCAAAATTAAATGGCCGCGGGCAGCGCGGAGACGCGCGCGCAACGCCCCGAGGCCGCCCCCGAAGAGGAAAATGTGCCGCTCTCCACCCAGGTGAAAATATGTGAATATTGCCAAGCGGTGGAATTAAAGTACCTTTCGCGGAATGCGAGAAATGTAGCAGGAAAGACTCGATTGAAGATGTTTGCGGACACGATGCGAGGAAAAGTCGAAGCGATGTCTCTTCGTTATTTCGAGATGCAAACTACTGGAATTCGCACGTAAAGCGCCTGAACATTGCGGAACATTTCACTCATACGTAGATAAGGAGCTACTAGTCCAAAAAGCGAAGTTCTGCAAACTTTTCATACAGTGATAACTGATGCTTATACAAATGAAGAAATTATTCAAACTAAATCATGACAATAGATCAATTGATCAGTCATGGAATCCCACTGAGACAATCTGTTGAAAGTTTTGGGCTCGTAACATACAATATTTCACGATACGCAATACTTTTGCAAGGAGAGTGTAACTTCAAGTGAACTCATTACTTGCATTGTAATTTACAAGCTGAAAACAACCTCCGCGACACTTACGAACGATAAATGTCAACAAGCAAGTGCAGCCAGTGGCGCCCGTATGGAGAGTAAATTCTAATTATAGTTTCGAAGTCGCTAACAAAACGCTGGCAAGAAGATACCGTCGCGCTCCCATCCAGTGGGGTAAATTAGTGCTGAAGAGTCAGCAGAGACAAAAATGCACTGGAAAGGCGCCAGGTCCGCAGGATTGTAATGTTGTAAATTGACACCGATTACAATTAAAAAATAAAAAATAAAAAGAATGCAAAATATTTCATTAAATCTCAATTACGAGCTTTTCAGAAAAATTAAACTTTTCATTATTTCGATTTCTAAAGATCGTTAAAAGTACATGAACTCCACAGAATTTTTTAATGAATATTTAAAATAATTGGGCAGAGTCATAGGGGCTGCCCAATGTGTGAGCCAGATTTGAAATTACTTCAAGGTTAATCTTACTCTTGGCCACCGCGATCCGACGGCATTACGCGACCACATCCACAACAGGAATTGTATGGTTGCCCACACGCATTTCTAGAGGTCGTTAGAAGGACCCTAAAAATATTTTGAAAGAATTCTTTAAGAATATGGTAACTGCGGCATGGTAGTATGTATGTTGGCTTTTGTACCCATTTACGCGATCCGGAAAAAGCAAAAGAGGATTTAAATCAGCAATAACGTATGTTATTTGACTTGAATTGACATCTCTGTTACACGACTGAATTTCAATGTTGATAAAGAGAATTTCCATGTCAAAATAGTTAAGTTCCGAAAACTACATTCTATCTACTCTCATCTTCAACATTTTCCATGTTTTAGAAGGCTATTCGTTCAGACATCGCTGTGAAGGCTCTCAAAAGGAACTTCGACTCGTTCCACCTCTGGACACAGAAGAGGCTTTATACGCGTGCGGTCGTTTACAAAAGCAGTATGCGTATATGCAGATTTCAACAAGTATGAATAACCGCCGCGCATCTAGAATAAATTTATGTTCAGATTTTATTTGAATTATTTGAGTTTTTACGATCCTACTGGTCGGATAAGTGTTGCCAGAGCACCCCTTCCGCCGGATACCAGATCTAAGATCGCCTGTGATGTTTGCTCTCGCACGTAACGTTTATTGACTAATGTGACTGAGCGGCCCCGCGCCAATAGCTCGCCGCGCGTGAGTAAGCAGCGCGTGGGCGGGGCGCAGGCGTGCGACGACAAAAGAGAGAGGAGCGGGCGGGTGACAAGGTACGTCGCGTTATTCGTAGCCGCGACCGCAGCGGCGCCGACGGCCGCTCTATTCTCGGCTGTGTTCACTTCGACGCGCCCCTCGAGACAATACGCCGCCCGCGACCCAGGCGGCGGATTCTGGAAGCAGGTTGTGTCGCGCTCGCCGCGCGCGTTTGTTGACAATGCAGGGTACATCCGCAGGAAAGAAGAACGCATTGCCTTTGCGATGGGTCTTCCTGAATTAGAACACGGAATTTTGAACTTAAACATTCGACTCGTGAGTCGTCGGAAATGTGCTGTTGCGCGGATCGGGGTGGATTTCCAAAAGATTATTGGTCTTTGATTTCTCAACATAACAAAGAATTTCGATTTGCATGTTCTTCCTACACCACGCTTGAATGTGCAAACATTGGAAGATGAAAGATACCTTAAGCATGTGTTATGGTACAACAATGCTTAAGAGATTTGAGAGTGTGTTTGATTCTGTCGGTATGAAACTGTAGATGTCACGATTAAGGAATGTCCTTTACCCTCTGCACTTTTATATTTTCATAACATGAACTCATTTCCAGTCGAAGAGAACTGATATTGAAATTTGATATATGCGCGAGAGAGAGGGTGAATAGCCTCCAGCGAAAACAGCAAATATATTTATTTTTATCCCTTCTATGCTTATGTCGTTCCGGGAGCATTGAAGCCAGCAAAGAGTTCCTCTCGATGGCAGGAAATCAGCACATCCTCTTTACCCCTAATTTATGAAGCAACATCCCTGAATGAACATAATACACCCACCACTGAACCGTCGGCAGCGCAGGTAGGTGAAAGGGGTGAAATGAGGCAATTTAGTAACTTGGACCCACGTGTAACAAAAACGAATGTATTTACATTTTTTTACTATAGAGTATGAATAAAGAATAGGACTGGTAAAGTTACATGTGATGATAATTTTTTGAAGATAATAGTTACTAAAAACAACCCTTCTGATATGACATTTCTGTAATTGATAAATTAGCGAATTAGATATGAGTGTGACAAAATAGTACAACTCAAAATTAAAGCTCCAAATGAAAATTACCAATTTGTTTAGAATTAACAATTAAAAATCTAATATAAACTAGTGCTACAACAGCTCATACTTTCTCGCTCCTTAGTAACGGTTATGAAATAAAATTATAACACAATTTCCACCTATGCCAACACATCGCGGTCAATAAGCACTGACGACAAACCGCACACACAGCGAAGGGCACTGCCAAAAATGTGCATATTTTCTTTTCAATTCTTGCTAAACCCCCCATTCTTGCCATAAATGGACCTGTTTTTGAGATTGTATTGTGGTTTTATGAATGTTGTTATACAACATTCTTAAGAATATTGCTTGTTTCGAATACATTATATTATTTTCCGTCGCGTTCCCAATATATTCTAGGCTTATAATTTAATGTTTCATTTTCTTTTAAATGAAGACTAACGACCAAACAAAATGTTAATAAATCCCTTCATAACTAAGAAATTAAACAGTTATTGATGCCGTGGAGAGCAGTAAACGAGATAACTCGCTAAAACATTTCATTTTTGCTATCAACTCGCTTCGTACGTTAATTTTTGAATAGATAATAGAATAATATGAAATAGTAAATGAACGAATACTATTATAAACCCTTTTTTTATTTCCACACATCAATTACTCAAGCAAGAATCATTTCACCAAAAAATTACCAATTCAGAAATAAAAACCATAAATATACCCCTTACGAATGCATTCAAAACTACGATTTCATTAGCTTATGCATGTCAGTGCGCATATATATATATATATATATATATATATATATATATATATATATATATATATATATATTCTTACCGAATTTAATAAAGTTTAACATCATTTTTTTGAACGAAACATGTAACATTAGGGTAACGTATATAAACCCGCCTTATATTATTTTTCTCCCAACAATAAATATCTCGGAAAAACATCTCAAATATCCATCGCTGCGTATCCTCGTAAGATGGTAATATCAAATTATTGAAAAACACGTTACTACAAAATTATGGTAATATTTTTTTCGATTTTTCTTTCATATTACAATTAAATAGTATTTTTAAGAGAGGAAACCTTTGGGCTAATTTGAAAGTCGAGTTGACTCAACGAACAAACGC